TGGAAAAATCAAAGAGGACTCAATTTTCTGATGCATTTACAAAAACTATTCACAGTAACCTGACACTGCCTAAAATACAAAAGTTCATATTTGCGCTCCTAAATGGCACTCTAATGTTACAGACGTGTTGCAGAGCACAGACGAACAAAAAAGTTGAATAACAGTTGAACTGAATTTAAATCTCAACAATGCAACAAGAACACTCGGATTAGTTTGGGAGTCAACTGCTGACGTCTTTGTATTCACATTGAAGCTCTCTAACACCGTGCTCCAAAAAAGAATTACTGTCCGGAATTAATAAACTATTGAACCCATTAGGTCTCTTAGGTCCCATTATGACACAAGCTAAACTGCTAATCAAGAAGCATGGAAGGAAAAGGTTGACTAGAATTCCGAGCTGTCCATCAGTATTATAAATAAATGGAAGAAGCTTATAATGGAGTTATCTGATTCTACCATGTTTCGCGTACCTCGTCAAATCTACTCCAGCTAGTCTGATCTTGTATGGATTCTGCGACGCATCCCAACACGCTTATATAGAGCTTGCATCTATATTAAGGCACCCGACCAAAAGGGACAAACAGCATGGTTAATGTGCTCGAAATAGGATGTTGCATCTATCAAAACGGTTTCAATACCACGTTTAGAACTATGTAGCGCATTACTATTATCGCGTTTGATAGAGCAGATAAGACAGACTTGCTGCTTTCAATTTTACAAAATTCTTGCATTCACAGATTCTACTATGGTATTATATTGGATCAAGGGTGACGTATCGCGATGGAAGCCATTCGTTGCACATCGTGTATCCGAGATCACTAACACCATTCCAGCGGAAGCTTGATCACACGTCAAGAGCGAGGACAATCCCGCAGATCTACTATCGAGAGGGCATGTAGTATTCAAGTAGTCTTCAAAAATGCAACATATGGCAAGGCCCCTCGTGGCTAAGTAACGATTCAACATCAAGCGAAGGGTAACACGGAGGCAGTCGAGTAACGTTTCTGAATGCAGCCTTATCGATGTGCTACTAGTGAAAATCCCGATGAAAAAAGTAACTCAAACGTAACTTAAAAGTAGTTTAAAATTACTCTTTCAGTAACTGTAACAAATTAATTTACAGAGTCAATAATTTGTAACAGTAATTAACTACTTTTTGAAAGAGAAAAAATGTAACTGTAATTAATCACTATTGCAAAGTATCAATATTACAAAGTAACTTTTCCATCCCTGAATATAACATTTACTTACATGGAGGTAGAGGTTCTTCTGAGGATAAAGATACATTTGACGTTTGGCATACGGGCAATGGACACAAAGGTTTGGGTCGATGTGTGGGTGTGGGTGGACACTCCAACTGACTAGCCATTGTCAATTCTGGTCTTTCTCGTTGTCTATGTGATCTCGGTGAACTTAATAGAGCAATGCTTTTTGTAACTGCTGTCCTTAACTGAAATATTAACTAACTTGTATATAGTTTAAATGCAACGACATTGCATAATAATAAAGTTCTACAATCTCAACCTTGAGGTTTGAGGCTTCGTCAACATCTACAATCTCGAATCCAAAACAATCTTCAGGGTGTAATGGCGCTGGATGCTTTTGATGTCGTTTAGGTAACTCTGGTGCGCCGCTTGGTAAAGCGTTACTTCTATGTAACGGTCGATGTGCTGCTCTTGGTGGAAGTGGTGGTGGCATTGGATAGAGAGTTTCGTATAACGATTCGGGAGACAAATGACCACCTGTACTACGCCACAGCTGATAATATTCTGCTCCTTCCTTTGCTATAACTCCATTGGGTCTGCACTGTCTCTAAAATAAAACAGTTTCATTTTTATAGTAACGTTTCTATTCATTAGAAAGAAAAAGACCAAAGAATATAAAAAAAAACGCAAAAGTAACAAAAAAATTTAATTCGACACTGCGAGTGCCCTCTGACAGATTTTCTATGAACTTATTGACTTGCCATTATCGCTTATTGGTGCATTTTTTAAGACGATCGTTACAATTAAAACAAACGTCTGTCTGTTCATGTTTGTTTTTCACAAGATAACTTGAGTCACAATAATAATAAATAGTATAAGAAACTTAACGTTGTTGTCAAATCTTGATAATTAAAATCTTATAACAATAATATTATCTTGCGAAAATTTTTGTTGTCAATTCTAGATATTTTTAATGTATTTTTGGATGCTAAATACAAATCCGTTGTACAAAGGAAGTGAATCAATAAGGCCCATTTTTAACCCTCAACTGCGACTTTCATTAAACAATCTTTTTGTATAAAAAATAATAAATTGAAGAAAAATATTTTACAATATATTTTTTCTAATTTTATTAAAATCTTTAAAAAAATTACTTTTTTAATATTAAAATCGCTCAGGCAATGATTTCAAGGTATCAATTCGCAGATTAATATAATAAATTTTCTCTGTATTGACAATAATAAAATTCCCAAATTTTTCTATGAAAAATTCAAGATATGTGATTTATTTACCTTTTTGATATCATTGTTACTTGTACTCGCATGTTGCAACTCTATATCTGAATTACTTTCCTCGCTGCTATTCGATGAACGAGGTTCCGAATCTAGGCAACGAATTCTCTCCAATTGATTTTGTCTGGTAAATGATGAATCCAAAAGTGCTACTGCATTCTCCTCAACCTCAGATTGTTGAACACTGGCAGTTTTAGGCATTTTCTCTAAGATTGGCAGTTTAAACGGTTTATTTATACTCACAGACTCATGACTTGAAGACGAATGTCCTGCGTCTTGTGATGTTGACATTTCTTTACAAACATGTTTAGATGAACTGGGTAATTCATTTCCTTCAATCACATTTTCAAATGACTTCTTATTATTATTGTCTAATGTATTTAAAGATATTTTTGTATCATTAGTCACATCACTATAATTAGATGTTGAAGATGCACTTTGCGAATTTAACGATTCTTTAGATATATCTAAAGATAGAGACGCTAATCCATCTGTTGATAAGTTACTTTCATGTTCTATCTTGCAATCTTTATCGTCATTGCTAGACGTTTTTAATAACATCACAAGACTGAAATTACTCGTATCAGAATCATTATCTTTTAAAGTCTCTTTGTAAGTGTGTAAAGGTATTGTTTCTTGGATTGATTTGTGCCTAGTATCTGATGTAACATCTGTATTATTATTACATAGATTTCCTGCACTTGGTTTGTTACTGCATTCTTCTACATCAATATTATGACTATTCTCAAATCCATAAATTTTCCCATCTGAAATATTGTTAGAACAGGCTGCCGATTCTGAAGCATCACAATGAAATTTAGAAATGTTCTCTGCTAATAAGCCTTTCTTTCTGGATAAATTTCTATGAGTGAGAAAAACTGATTTTTTACTCAAATTTTGTATCGTATTGTCGCATAAAGTACCTATATCATCATTTTCTTCAGTTTGTTTAACCAATTCCAAAAATCTATCTAAAATTTTCAAACAAAAATACATATTTACTATAATTTTTTAAATCTAAAGATTAAATAAGAACTTTGCAAATATTATTTATATATTGATAAAAATAGGTGGAATTATATTTATAAGGTTTATATTGATATTACCTGTCTTAGATTGAGGATATAAATTCTCTGCTTCAAGTAAGTTATTTGTTGTTACATAGTTATCACTCGTCATCAACACTGTATCTTCAGTCGAGTTCAAGAACTTGGTTCTGACATTTGACGTGAATACTTTATCATTAGCATTGACCAGATGAGGATCTATGTGTTTTACAATCGAGTCTTTATTCTCAGAATTTAAGGTCATTAATGAAACAGGTTGCTCATTAGATTTCTCACTATCCTCTTCTTCCTTGAAAACACTGTCCATGGCATCTGTTTCAGATGGCATCTTCTCTTCAAAACATATTCATAATCGAAAGCTCCATGAAATCCTGCAGACGAGAAAACGGTTTAGAGTTAAAAAAAATTTTCACTGTGCAAGTCCGTGAAAATTAAGAGAATGTAAATACGCTCGAAACGGCGAGATCTCTTATTTATAAAGTATAAAATCCCAAAAGTATAAGAAAACGACCGCGATTAAATAATAAAATACAGAGCGAAAGAAACAAGTTTCGCATCGAAACGAATTGACGACGTGAAATTGCAAGAATTTTTAGATGCAAAAGGAATAGAGACACGCTACCTGACGTTTAATTTCTCGTGGAAATTAACTACTGCTCTTCCCAACATATTCTGTTCCGTGCATACGAAAGTTGACGAATACGCGGATAAGGAGCTACGCGAAAGCCGCTCCTTTACCACGGTACCACATGTTTGATACGTAACATAGTAGGGTACACTTCAGGTAGACGTCCCTCTTTCCTTTCCACGTAATATCCGTCACTTTATTTACACGTAACTTTATTCTCATCAATTACCATGTACACGCGTGAACGGGTATATTTGACAGCGCGGACGTAGCAGACTATAAGCGGGCTAGTGATTTTTTTTACCTTTTCCTCCTCATCTGTTGTGTCCAGTGTTGCCAAAAGTTCGTATGCCTATTGGCACAGTTTGCAACGTACGCTTAGTGTGGCTGACAGTCATTCATTGGTACTAAAAATGGCTGACTTAATAGACGATTGGTGGATTTCATAGTTCGTCTGCAAACGACGCCATTTTTAGTACTTTTCTCAGTAGTTTTGCGATAAATGACTGCATGTTCTAGGACTCTACAGTTGAATCTGCTGAACGTGACCATTGGCATCCCTAGTCACAAGATGGAGGATTTGTAGTCTCTTTTTGTCAAATGTGATGGATCATAAGAGATTTTTATTTAGTTTTATTACTTATTGTTGTTATTCGGCGTTGGAGAGTATTGATGTGTGTAATAATGAATAGTTTTATAGAGAGTTCTATAGTGCTTATCCGCATTATAATTCGATAACTTTATGGAAAGTATTCTCAAAGTATTTATCGACAATATGTTCAAGTGGAGCGCTTTTATTATCGCCATTTATCATTGAAGATTTTTTCTCTTTTTATTTAAATATTTAGAACGTTTAGAATCTCGCTGACGTATCTGTCGGCAATTAATCTGTCGATAATTAATCTAAGTAAACTTGATCCCAGAAGTATATCAAGTAGGTCATTTTTACAATTATCCTTATCGTTGCCAGTAAAAAATGGATTTTAGCACTCTAATCTCCGTCGCGCAAAAGAATGAAGTAAAAAAACAGGTCAGTTCATATTGACATCTGTATATAATTATTTATTATATTTACAACTGTGATATTTACCTACAGCATGTTTACAACTAGTGAGTGTGAAGCGTGATGTAGACAAGTTAATCTGTTTAGGTCAGATGTTTTTCCTAGACCATTTTTATTGAAGCTTTATTTATGTTTTAGCAGACTATTCCGTGCTACCAAACAAAATTTACACCACTGAAGAAACAGTCTAAGCAATCCAAAACTCTTTCCGATAATATCAAGAAATTTTTAGCTCGGAAAGAAGAAGAAGAAAGGCAGAAAGCTCTAGAGGAAAAAAGAAAAAAGGATGTAAGTTAAAATACATAATAAAGATTGTTATATTTTAATGTGTCTGAATAATTTGTTTATATTTGTATTTTGTGTTTTTAAATATCTGTACAATGATGAGATGGATATTTTAAGCTCATCTTTATGACATCAAACTTTTATTTTTGATATATCTCTCTTGCTTTAAGAACATTTTTATTTTGTATTATGGTTTGTGTTCTTTAAAAATACCTTTTATATTTGGCTGTTCAATATCTTCAATATTTTTTATAAGATATTTTGGAATATGTATATACATTTTTTTCTTAAGAAACTTTAAAATGATGTTATAAATGTTACAATATAGAATTATATTATTACACTTGATAACTACTTATTGCACATTCTACTTGTAGAAATTACTCCATTTATGTATACTCCATCTATTTTCACTAATGTAGAATATTTTTATCTTTAGTTTAACTTACTCTATATTCCTTTACTAATTTTTAGAACTAGATAATGATAAAAAGTGAGTTACTATAGTGTTAGAAATATGAGGACTATGATTCTCTTATATACTGTGAAATACAATTTACAATAAAATAATGATATAACTTCATATAATATGCGAGGTCCATCCCAGTCTACCTTATCTCCTTTCCTGTCTACAGACACATTACTTTTCACGTGTGACTTTAGGTCCAATCTCTTTTTCTTCATTTCATTATTTTTAAATATATTTTTATATGGCAAAAAACATTTCTATATTTTTCAAATTATTTAGCAATACTATTTTCAAATTTTATAATGTATTAAGAAAATTGTTTTGTGTACAATAATTTCTTTATGTTTAATTAATATAGCTTTATTTTTTCTCAAAAAATTGTCAGGTATTTGACAAATTATACTTTTTTTCAGAATCTTTTAGCTTTACGAGATCAGAAGACCCAGAATCGGATAAATAAACACTTGAAAGTGTGTAAAGCAGCGAATAAATCAGTGATTGAGGATGCCATTGACAGTGAAAATACAGCTATTACTATTGCAGGTAATACGATACTTTATGTACTTGAATAATTCTTTTTTTACAGGTAAAGTAGATTTGATGATTTATTTTATATTTTTATCCAAAGTTACGTATTATTGTAAGAAGGGATAAGTTTGAAATAAAATAAAGTTCCAAACGCACAAAAATACTAAAAGATTTTTTTTATTCATTTATAATTATCTTATTTTTTGCATTGTGTAGCACCTTTTATTTTAAGAAATTATATAATACAGTACTGTTAAATTTCTAAACAACAGTGTATTGTTGTTAAATATTGAAGTAGCAAAATAAATAGATTCATTAAAAATAAAAATCTAAGTAAAGGGCATATATGAGTCTATAATCAGTAAGATTTAAATATAAAATATAGACATATAATAATAAAAATCTCATATATAATAATAAAAAGTCCATTGTTGTTTTGCAATTATAATTATAGCAAATCTGAAGATTGCTCGATTAAGAAGCCAAAATATGTAATTATATTGTACCATTGAGACATTTTAATGTTATACCGAAACATTTATAAGAATTCTAACGAAGATTTTTATTATTATGTCTATATTTTATATTTAAATCTTACTAATTATTGACTCTTACATGCCTTTTAGGCTGGGTCCACAACCTCGCTTTAAAAGGCCCTAAGTCGGAAAGCTGTAAGAAATTAACCAGTCACAGTCGATTATTTTTCTCGCATTCAATTATGATTGGTCAATTTCTTACGACTTTATGGCTTAGAGCCTCTTAAAGCGAGGTTGTGGACCCAGCCTTACTTAGATTTTTATTTTTATTTAATGACAAAAGTCTATATTTGAAATGGATTTATATCATATACATGTAATTTTTAAAGTCATGAAACAGTAAAATATAACGAATTATAAGACATTAAACTGATGAAAGTTATAGCAACAAATAGTTTATTTACGCGATAATGATCTTGATTGTAACTTGATTAATAGAAAAATTTATCCATAATGGGCAACGTTTTTGCCCACAGGTTATAATATATACAAGCAATACAATACATTATTTATTCATCATCCCAAATCGAGGCAGAACAATTTCACAGTGGATTTGCACAGCGATGGATGCTTTAAGGTCAGCCTTATTCTGAAATAATCCAGATAATTCATAAGTGTATGAAATCTGCTGTAGTTATCTTATTGCCAGTCTTTATAAGAATTTTTTCAAAGAAATGTAGAGGGAAAACTATGATTTAATTTATATTTATTAAATTAATGCAAGACATATGCATGATGCTTTATTATATTTTTTCTCTTCCGTAATATTAAAGTTTAATGTACATTTAATGTGCATATCTTATAATTTTTTTCATTATTCTAATCAATTATTTTTATTCCAATTAATTAAATGTTATTTAAATATTAAACGATGTTAAATGTAATATTTATATATATATATGACATTAAATGTGACAATTATTAAAAAAGAAGTAAGAATGTTATTGACATTTAGCTTAGATTATATTGAGAGATATTTGCTCCATTATTTTTTCATCACAACTATTCTTTCAACAGCCTTCTTTTATTGTATTTTTTTATATTATTTATGTATTTATTCTTGTTTTTTCCTTTTATTTTATGATATTTCATTAGTATCAGGACTTTTCTGATCTATAAAATGAATTTTTGTGCTTGGTATTTGGAACTTTATTTTTATATAATTATTGAAATTATATTACTGATATGTTGTTCTATAAATATATCGTTAAAATATATGTAATAATCATTATGATAATATGATTCATTATATAATATAAAGTATTTCTGCAGGCCCGTCTCAACCCGATGAAGATGATTATGGATATGAATCTCAGGCAGCTTCTGAATTGTACAATCAACTTATGAATAAATATAATAGTTTACCTCCGGAAAAACCTCTTTTTAGTACTAGTGAAAGAACAGTGAAAGATATTGCATCCACAAAGGTATATTCTTTACGAAAAATTAAAGAATATGTTTTAGGAGAGCGTAAATTACATAATTTAATATAATTGAAATTGAAAAATGTGTAATAAAACAATAATAGTCATTACATAAAGTTGTTTGTTTAAAATTAAATACGGTTGCTACAACTTATTGATTACTCTCGCATGGAGCCATACATCACTTCATTTGAATTACATAATATTATAAGTAAAACTTTATGTGTGAATATTAATATTTTTTATATTATTTGTGTATAATTCATATATGTCATTGTGGGAAATTAAACATGATGTTGTCCAATGCTGTCTTTAAACATGGTAGCAAAATTAATAGTCCGTTATTTCTTATAAAAGTCTGTGATTACGGTAGATATGTCAAAAAATCAATAGTTCACAAAATATTTTAAACTTTATTAAAATATAAAATATCTTGTTAACTAATTTTTCGATATATCTACCTTAATACTTTTATGTGCAGAATAATTAAAGAAATTGTCATATTAAAAAAAATCATCTTATTAAAAGAAAATAAGCTTTATATTAATATGAAAATTTGTTTTTTAAAAAATTTATTTTATTATTATTTGTGCCCTATTATGTCAAATAACTTTTGTCTAAATATATTTTTTGTGACCTTATTCTATAAAGATGTAAAAAATTATTAAATTAGATGAGATATTCAGTACATTTCTATTCTTTTCCATTGTATTACTATTATTTATGATAGTTGAAATGATACGTACTCCAGCTTTAGTTTAAGATTGTGTTTCAAGACTAGTAAATATAATGAACACAATTTATTTGAAATGGAAATTTTAAAATTAAAAATTCATGTAAAAATATTTATGCATTTTGTGATTGGATATATAGCTTTCTTCATTTATTTGTATGTTACTATCATTATATTAAAAGTTCACAATTTTGAAAAAATATCCTTTATAATAATAATCATTTTTTTATTACATATTATAATAAAATCTTTGATGGAAAAAAAATTATTTTTTTATATTAATAGAAAAGAACAAGCTAATAATGTACTATTTTATCACTTTGTATGATTAAATATTATTTTATATATTATAGGACAGAGTAAAACAAGCTTTGAAACAGCAAGAACTTGAAGAAAGTAGCGGACATAGGAAAAAAAAGAGATCGAACGTTTCAAATGTAAAAGAAACTGAAATTGAGGAAAAAGTAGGGAAGGACAACAAAGAAGTTAATAAAAAAGTCAAAGAAGTTAAAGAAGACAAAGACGAAAAAGACAAAGACGAAAAACCCAAAGCGAAGAAAAAACCATCGCTACCACCACCTATGGGTTTTGCGGAACTTTTAAAACTCGCCGAGGTAAAGCAACACGAACCTGTAGTTATAGAAGTTAAACCGAAAGTCGAAAATGAACGACCAATGACAAAACGTCAAAAAATGGAATATATGCAAGAAAAAGAAAGGAAGGAGCAACGTGAAAAAAAAGTTTTAGAGGCAAATAAAAAGATAAATACACCTAGCAAGCTTGATAAAACACAATTGAACAGAATTCCTAAAGCTAACGGAAAATCTGTAATTTCTAATTCAACACCGAATAAAGTTTCTAAATGTGCTACAACCATTCCTAAACAAATCACTGATAAATTTAACGATAAACATAATATCGAAAAATCAAATTCAAACAAGAGCTCAGTTCAGAATGAATTATTAGAGGAACGGAAAAAGATAGAAGCTGAAAGAAGACAATTGGAGGAAATGCGACGCGCTATCGAGGAAGAGAAAAAGAAATTAGTACAAAGTAAAAATAAATTGGAAAACGTTAAATCTGAGCCTTTTGACAAATTAAATACAACTAAATCTAAATATATAAATAAGCAAATATCTAAAGACATTAAACCGCGACAATTACCACCTTCGGATTTAAAGTTACAATCCACATTAGCTAATACTAAACCAAAACAGTTTCCACCATCTGATGTTAGGTCCGCAAGATCTAACACAATTATCAAAAAAGCATCCAATAAAAGTAATTTTATTTATAAATTATGCAATGCGCTTAAAGAATTTTATTTTAAAAATTGAACAATTCAAAATTTGTTTAATTTTGCAGGACGTATCTTTGATGATGAAGAAGACGATTCGGATTTAATCGATTTTATAGACGATGGGCCAGAAGATAATGAAGAAGATTACAGTAAACATATTAGCGAAATATTTGGCTACGATAAGAGTAAATATAGAAATATTGATGACGAAGATGATGCTGTTATGGAAAGTAATTTTGCGCAACAATTAAAGGAAGAATATATATCTTCAAAAATAGGTATTTATATATACGAGCATTTATATGAGAATTTCGAAATATACTTATAAATAACTTGAATAATTTGTTAATGTTTTATTTAAAATTAAAAATTTATAGGATATATGGAAGATTTAGAGGACATGCACATGGAAGCACTAGAGAAAAAGAAAAAGGCTGTTTTGAAGAAGAAAAAGAAATAGTATAAATTTTTTTAGCTTTATACATATTATATGTATCTCACACATTTTTGAAGATATTAATATTTATTAAAAAATATATATAAATCTTGAAATGTTATAAAAATTAATATAAAAACATTAACTCGTATTGATGTAAAAAGCGTCTTCATATATTTTTTCTCTTTTTAATAATCTATAAAGTTATATTTAATATAAATTTATTGGAAAAAGTTAGATGCAATATATATATGTATGTATGTATACACCCACCCACCCACACATACAGTCATATATATATATCCTAGTATACATATCCTTTATACATATATATATATATATATATATATACACACATATACAGGATGTTTGAGAAGTAATAAAAAATTTTGTTGCATAGGGAATAGAATGGACTAAACTGAGAAGAAAAGTCCATCAGCGGTCCATTCTAGATGTCGATGAAAATGACTTTTTTTTTTATCAAATACTATTGGTTCTACATTAGGCTGTTATTTCATTTGTGCGTTTTTGTTGTATGACAAATGTATAAAGCCCGGATCTACAACAGAGTTTTAAGCCATAAGGAATGGACGAATCATAGTCGATTATTCTCTTCGAATTCAACTGTAATTAGTTAATTTCTTAGGGTTGCGCAAAATAAAAGGAACAGAGAATAAGAATTTCAACGTATCAAAAATCATGTACTATGGAATACACACTGTTTATTCCACAGTACATGATTTCTGATAGGTTGAAATTCTTATTCTCTGTTCCCTGTTCCTTTTATTCTGCATAGCCTTACAGCTTATGCCTGGTTTATGCTTCAGGCTAATAAAGCGGGGAGCACAGACTTTTGCATAACGCATAAACCATATACATAAAGAATTTGATTGGTCCATTGACTCATGCATAAGAAAATGGACCAATGAAATTCCTTATGCACATGCTTTATGCGTTATGCAAAAGTCTGTGCTCCCCGCTTTAAGCCTTAAGACCGAAGCATAAACCAGGCATAATTTTCACTCCATGTGACAGCACCCTGAATCCTACATATGAATACCGGCCCTGATATTCTAGTAACATTCACGAAATATGGCATACAATTATTTTTCGAGAATAAGATCCTAGACCTTTTATTCCCATCAGCGAACTCCCTCCCAGAGCGTACGTAACTGCACGAAACGGGACGAAATAGTGTTCACAGTCTCACTTTTCTTCACAGAATTGGTGTCTTCTCTCCTTTTATTTTGTGAGTTTCTCTTTCTGGTGATAGATAGGTCGGTGTAGATCTAAATAAACAAAAACATAACGATCTCTTTTGAACGTGTAGTTCTATCAGCTTTGTCGAAAATGCGCGGTAGTGAATAGAATATGTGATTTGGTTAACAGTGAATCGATTATCAAACAATAAAATAAAACATTATGGCGCATTTATCTGTGACGATCGTAATGCTGTTAATTGGGCTTTAATTTATATATTTTTTCTCTTTTTGTATCGATTAATACTTAATAATTACTATTAGTATTGTGACTATGGCGTGGAAGGTAAAATATGATCGTTTGATATTAAGAAATGATAATGTTACGCTTTATCTTGGTTCTACAACGAGTCGGTAGCCGGCAATTGGAAGTCTTAAGAATTATTTAGAATAGAGATCCGTAACGTAACAACATATCGTAATCATAAAAAAATGCAATATTTTGATCTTTTATGGTTACAGGTTACGTTCAGCGCGGCAATGCTGAATTCATGGTTCAGCATTGCCACGCGAAACGAATACTTTTTTTAATCAAAGGCTTTCGCAATATTTCTAACAATTTCTTGAAAACAGTCATTCGCGCGAACTTAAAAAATGCTCGTGGCTTTGTCTTTTATAAATTTAAAGAGGATATAAAAGTGGCCTTTTTTTTCCCCTCCCCCTCCCATTGTAGTAACATAGGTTGAACCCAAAATTTTCATTTAGAAAATTCTCTTTTCTGCAATAATTATAAAATAATTGCAACCAAATTTACAGCAAGAACTGCTTTTCTAAATCACAGAGAATCTATTTTATTTATTTAACACTAAACGTACCGACATTTAATATATAGATACCTATTTGTACTGTAACTGGTCAAATGACCTGTTGTAATAAATAACGCTAGGCTACACGTGTTTATCAGATTTAACAAATAAAAATATAAATAAATGATGTAAAATTAATTGTATATATTTAATAGAAAAAATCATGAAGTCAAATGTGAAAAAGCGATAACATATTATGCGAATTTTCTAATCAAAAGTTACAACCGGTCATTTGACCTGGTCGTGGTACGTTTAGTGTTAATAATGTGTACGTCTGCAGTAACTCAAGTAACCAAAATTTCAAATATCTGGCAGTGATTAGAATACTCCCCAATTATATTTATAAGTACAGTTTGTTACGTTATGCTATGTTATCGCTACAGACTGCCATTCTAGAAGAGAAAGGGCAATTTCTTACAGTTACTGATTTTGCGGTTTCTTACTGACATCCATTGGATCTGTGCCTTTAACCGGTTTTAATACTTAAGTCATATAAGTTGATTCAATCTCATCAATTAAGACTTAGGACTTCTGACTATCGACTTGTGATAGAACTCCGCGATTATAATGACTTCATATATAATGTCAGTTTGTTACTTTGAATATATGGTGTCTTCCATCAAGCAACATAGTGGCTGTGTTCCAAAATTGACTACCTGTACTGAAAATTTATATGCACATAACATAAACTATAGCATTTTCAACACTGATAACAATTTTGAAACACAGTCATTGTGATACAATAATTGTGTCATTTTTGTTTAATACATGCAAACAATAAGGATGATTTACTGTGTCATTTATGTCTCTTGCCAGGAAGTACCCATAGTAATGACTGCGTTCAGTGTCGCAAATTGTATAATTATGCTCATTTTGTATCATATTTCAGAAAATAATCAAAGCAACTGCACAAGAACTTGCTTTTCGCAATAAGCATTTTCATGGTAAGTTAATCTTGCTTTGTAATTTCTGCATAAGCTTTAAATATAATACATATGCATACTTTTAAAGTATGCATATAATTATGTATGTGTACATTTACATTATCATATAGTATATAATGTGTATGCATAAAATTATACATATAAACTTTGTTTATATTGTGAGTACTTATATATATCTACTAACTGATAACTTTCTATTAAATTACCTTAATTTCAACAAAGTACATGAAGAGCACTACACTAAATTGGTACAATATGCATCAAAATAAATACAGGTATCATGGAGTATATATTTACCAGTATCATTTGTAAAGTGATCACTGAAATTAATGCTCGTATTCATAGTCAGATCTGCTCTTTGAGGCTTCCTCAAATTCATCTTCAGATACTTTGTAGACAATAAAATAATTCATAGAGCATCTGAAGATAAATTTAAGGAGGTTTTAAATATAAGATCTGATTGTGAATACAGACATAAGATAATTCGATAGAAAGTTACTATCTGTTGGAAAGTTACTATAATTGGTATCTGTATCAAGTACATAATATAAACTAGATCACAGTATTTACATCTATATCACACCCCTTGGTGTTTTACGAGGAAAGGTTAATATCTTGAGAGGTAATAATAAATAGGATACATGTTTATATGAATATTTTTGCTTAAAATAATCGATACTATCATCTTCCAAGATATTGACCTTTCCTTTCCTTGTGTAACACTTTATTTTGTAAAAATCAGTTTCTTATTATAAAGCATTATTAACAGATAAAACTATATAAACCCACACATACATGTATATATACATATATGTATAATATGTATAATAGAATAATGAGATAAATCAAATGGTGTAAAGAAAACACATAGTTGCGTATTTAAAAAATTATCCATTTTGTATACATATTTTTTTTAAAGCAACTATGTGTTTTCTTTACACCATTTGATTTATCTCATTATTCTATTCACAAAAGTATTAAGGTATGATAATCAAAAAGTCAACAGTTTACGAGTTATTTAACATTTTGTGTCAATAGTATCAAAATAAAGTGTAAAATATCTCGAAAATTATTGGTTTTTTTTGGCATCTCTACCTTAATACTTTTATATGCAAAATAATTAGAGGAATCACGTTATCTAAAAAAAATTACATGATTCTATTTAAAAAAGTGGAAGTGACCTTCATATCTTTTTAACGCCTCCACCAAAAAAACAATTATTGACATCACTTTATGTGCCCCTCGAAACCAAGCAACTTTTGTTTGACACTTTTTCTTCTATTGTCAAAAACAAGCGAGTTATTTAGGTGACCTGTTTTAAATGCCCCTCCCTGTATATTACACAGGGTGGTCCACTTAAATAGATCATCTTGAATATTTCATTTATTCTTGATAATTCGAAAAAATGTTTCAAGTGAAAATCGGTATCGAGAGGGACACGTTTTAGTCACGTTATTTTTTTTTTAAGTGGAGGCCCTAAAAAGATATGAAGGTCACCTCCACTTTTTTAAATGAAATTATGTAATTTTTTTTTAGATAATATGATTCAGATGAAAGTAGGATAGTTTCGAAAGGGACGTATTTTAATTACATTGTTTTTTGTCTAGGTGGAGACAACAAAAAAAGATATGAAGATCACCTCTACTCTTTTAAATGAAATTACGTAATTTTTTTTTATATAATACAATTTCTTTAACAATTTTGTATATAAAAGTATGAAGGTATAGATATAAAAAAAATCAATAATTTACGAGATATTTTATACTTTATTCTGACATATATATTGACATAAAATATCTCATAAACTATTGTTTTTTTTTTTTTTATGTCTGTACCTTCATACTTTTATATGTAGAATTGTTAAAGAAATTATATTATGTAAAAAAATTACATAATTTCATTTAAAAAAGTGGAGGTAGGTACCTTCATATCTTTTTGATGCTTTCATCTAGACAAAAAAAAAACGTGACCAAAACACGTCCCCTTCGAAACCGTCCCACTTTAATCTGAAACATTTTTTCGTATCATCAGAAACAAGTGAATTATTTAGATGACTTGTTTTAGATGTCATCCTGTACATACGCGCGCGCGTGTATGTGTGTGTCTGTGTGTGTGTGTGTGTGTGTGTGTGTCTGTGTGTGTGTGTGTGTGTGTGTGTGTAGACTCAAAAGGTTATAGGAGCCTGTAAGACTTGAAGTAAAACATTTTTTGAATAAAAACTCAAAATTTTTTCCAAAGTAATTATGAATACCTTGAAAATATAGAAAAATGGGATTATTTTAACAAAATAATCATTTGCTAATGTTCTAGTTTTATTTTTATTAAAGTTATATTAACTTATATAAAATTTAAAAAAGGTATTCAAAAGCATATGTTACAAATAACAAAACTAATTATATTTAATCTAATAATTCATGGGCCTTTGGACTCACTAATAAACACATAAAGAGATATCAAGAAATCATTGTGAATTCACAAACAACTTGTATACCTTATGCAAAATATAATCACTTCAGTATATTAGACTTTCCTACAAGTAAAAAACTCAAGAGTACTTCAGAAAACATTTCTATTTTGATTTAGTTAAACATTCTTTAATTTTAATAACTATTTGAATTACTGTGTATGTATACGTATATATGAATATTGATACCAAAAAATATGAAAAATGAAAAGAAAAGTTATAATGAGTATGTTAACATTTCTTTCTTAGTTTTAATGAAGACTGTTATACCTGTAGTAATATAAAACTGTACTTACACTTTACATTTTTAGATATTAGAATTATCAAAAATTGGCAAATAGTGTGTACTGTCTGTGGTAATGAATTAAATATCGAGACAAATCGAATCTTTTCTCATCCTGTCATTGGAATACTACAATGTGAGGTAAGACATAGTATATTTGTAATTATTCTATATACACTCACCCGTAAAAAAACGGGGCACTAAATTGTAGCACAAATTTTAATATTGCTTTATTGAGTTTGTATTTCAAGTGACGTTTCAATGAAAAATCATCATAGCGAGATGAACTAAAACTTAAATTAAAGCTTGCACATTTCTTTTAATAACCATGCACATCAAATTTGAATTACTCTAAGGTCGCGTACAACAGATTCAACTTTGTGGTGCAGATCTGTAAGCGTTCGTAGCTATTGGATGATCTAAATTCTAATAAAAGAATACGTATAATTAGCATATAAAAGACACTTAATTCTGGCATAGGTGCTGTTTCAATTTTTTGTGAGTAGGGGGAGTGCTAGCTTAACAAAGAATACACCAATAACAGCGAGCGTTTATAGATTCACAACAGTTGAGTCTGTTGAATGCGACGAAAGTGACAAAATGGCAGACATTGAAGACGAATATTGAAAAGTAAAAAAATGTCTTATTTTTAAATGGGCAAGTTGTAAACTCAATTTAACTCAGAAATAAATTATTATAGGAAACCAGGGTTGGCAACGTTATCTCATAAAAATAACTCGTTACCGTTCTTTTTCCTAAAAAATAATTCGTTCCCATTATTCGTTATTAATTTGCAAAAGTAACTCGTTATCATTACAGTTATCCAAAATATAACGAATCGTTACTTTTTCGTTATTTTTTTTCTTGGCACTAATAGAATATTATGTGAAAATTTTTTTGATAAATGTAAAAAAAGATATTAAAATTTTATTTTTTAGTAGAGGAATAGAGCTCAAAAATGTATATACATATGTATACACACATTTAACTCAATTTTTTTAAATTATACGCACACACACAGGTATACATTATTATTAATTATATACATACAATATATAATATTATATATATGTATATATATATATATATATAATGATATGACAGTGTCTATTAAATTCTTGTTTTAATGTGCGCAATTAAAATTAAAATTATAATTTTTGTTTGTCTATCTGATTCTATGACATTGAACAGAAACATCCTCTTCTCTTTAAAGGATTAATGAATCAGCATATTTAATTAAACATCTTTCACTGTAATATAACTTAATCAAATCTGTAAAAAATAAATTGTAATAGTTAAATATCATAAAACTTTTTATTTTTGTTGTCCGAAATATTAAAAAAAAAATAAAATGATACATCATGCGCATAATGCGTGAAACGGAACGCAGCCTATACGTATGAATATAATATAAAAAAGGCGTCGTGATTACGTGATTAAGAAAGCTAATCAAATCAATCCTCTTAACGTCGCATTTCTGTTTTCTATAACTTTAGTTATGACTAAAACTTTTACGTAGAAATAAAGTAACGATAAAAGTAACTAGTGAAATCGTTACCATTACCTCAAAAATGTAACGTCATTACCTATTTGTTACCGAAAAAAGTAACTTCTAACGTTACAAATAACGTTACAAATAACGCGTTAGTTGCCAATCCTGTAGGAAACTACCAAAAAGGAAATTAAAGTGTGAATTTCATATCTTAACTTTTTTAATTTCGTGTCAGTGTGTGGGTTAATCAGGATCAACGATGTGGATGAGGCAGATATCCGATTTGTGCTAACATTTAGTGGCTCGTTTCTATTTTACGGGTATGTATAATATCAAATGCACTTTATATTTAAAGTTTAAAGTAATAAAAATTTCTCAATACATTTTTTTCATTGATTACTATGCACTATATAGTGTTGTATTATTTTTGTTTAGATATGCTGGAACGATTTGAACAATACACAAAGCAGATTTGATGAAAACAGTAGGAGCTATTGTTACATATGCGGCAAGAACAAAAAAAATATATATGTATGCAGTAAAAAAAATTGTTTCTCAGCATTTTGTAAGGTAATAAATTTATTATATATAATTAATGAATATAGCAATTTAAATATTATGAATTAATTAAAATAAAATAAAGCAATAAGTATTGCTGTATTGGATTGCGAGTTAATCTATGCGCACATATTTGAGCCATCGAAATTTATTATCTAAAATTAGCTAGTATACGTTATTATAACTCTTTAATTGAACCGTTAGGGACCATAATGTTTATAATTGATGTGACATGTTAACATTGGAAACGACTCAATAGAAGTCGAAACGTCTGTATTTTTATTTTCGTTTGTAATTGTCAAATTAATGGACATTAAATTGATTGTTTTTGGCTCGTAATCTTCTTATTTTATTTTAATTAATTTGATCTGCTTGAGAGCCATTCTATATCACGTATTTTAAATATTAGGTTAGTGCGAATGAAATGTCCGTTTTTCGTACTTTAAACTTCCCGCCTTTATAGTACATCTTTCTTTTACACAGATAGCGCTGGTATCTATAGGCCTGTTCTTTTTACCGAACTGGTGCACAGAGTGCAATAAGTTGAAGTGAAACAGATATACGTTTGTTTCATTTCAACTTATTGAACTGTATGTACCAGTTCAGACAGTGCAGGCAAAAAGAACAGGCCTTATATCATTTGAAAAGTACATGTCCTGCACACGGATTTAAATATGTAATTCCATTTGTTTACTACGGTATTAATTGTTGAAATTCGGATTTAACATGGAAAATAAAGAAATTCGTTTACTTGTACGAGTTTAAACTCGGTTATAGTGCGGCTGAGGCAATGCGAAACATTAATATTGCTTTCGATGAAGTTTTTTCTGCCAGTGAAAGAACGACGAAGCGTTAGTTCGACGAAAAGTTTCGGTTTAAAGGCATAAACCGCGACAATTAGCTTTGCAGGCGTACACTCTCCGTTATTATTGATGACGCCGTTTTAAAGAATATGATTGAAGCGAATTCAAGATTAATAGTTTGAAAGATTGCGGGAAGATTCAATATCGATCATTCTACTGTCATCCGACATTTAAAGGCCTTGAGAAAAGTGAAAAAGTTGAACAAATGGGTTCCGAGAAGGACAAGATGAGACGTTTATAGAGATCTGCACTTTTTTGCTTTTCCGACAAAATAATGATAGAATATTGCACATAATAATAACGTATGATGAAAAGTGGATACTTCACGACAACCGTTCTGTGCAATAGTTAGATGCGAATGAGTCTTCGAAACACATGTCAAAACCGGATCTTCATCCAAAGAAGATTATGGTGTCTGTATGGTGGTCAACTAAGACATTATTCGTTTATCAAACGAGGTGAGACCATGAACAATGATAAATACTGCCAGGAAATCGACATTATATACCAAAAGCTGCGCGTTCAACAGTCGACATTAGTCAATAGACACGGTGCGTTATTGCTTCACGATAATGTCAGACGACCACACATTCCGAAAAAAAGCCGAGCTGAAGTTCGAAATTTTTTCTCATCCTCCTTATTCTTCAAACATTTCACCAACGAATTATCATCTATTTAAACATCTGCATTGGTTTGTAGCTGACAAAGTTTTTCAAGAAGAAAAAGAAGTTAAAAATGTATTCCACGAATTTGTCAACTCTCGTTCTCCAGATTTTTTAAAGAATGGCATTGATGCACAAGTATTACATTGGCAGAAGTGTATTGAAGTAAATGGAGAGATTAGTTTATTAGTATAATATAAAATAAGTTTTAAGTTTGTCAAATAGAGATCTAAAGTTTAAATTAAAAAACGACCATTTCATTTGCACCAACTTAATATATTATAGTATTGTGATTATTTTACTATTTTCTTAATTAATCACTTAGGGATGTATAAAGAGAAATGTGAATCTATCGCTATTGGATGCAGCAAAGGATGATTGGGAATGTTTTACATGTGATCCTAAACCAATTTGGAACCTGAGAGCCATATGTGCTGCTGTAATGGATTCTGTCCCTAAGTAAGTATAATTAAGCATATAAAACTTTCTAATTTTTAATGACACTTTTATTTCTATACATTTCTTAAATATTTAAATGTTTGCTATGCATTTCTTTATTACACTTTTGTGATGTATGTATATGCACAGAATGTAGATATTACTAGCTAATTATTTTACGATTTTTTTTATGAAACTACACATTGAAACCTTTGCAAATAATAATGACTTGATAATTTTCTTAGAAATTAAGTTTGCATGTTTCAATGGTGATAAGTATATCATGCATTACTCTATATAATTTAATGTATAATTTAACGTTTTATTCATACTGTTAGTCCGTTCTGTTATATCATAAGATATTAGAAGAAGAAAATTCTATCTAAGCAAGATGAGCGAAAGTGAAGAGCAAAATAGAATTTATCGTGTTCTTGGCTACAGGACTGGCTGACAGATACTAAAAGTTTGAGAATAAACGAATTAAACAAAAATGGAGAATATGCATGTATACATACTTCGAATATGACTGGAAAAAGAGAGGATATATACATGGAATGGATCTTCTGTTTCAGAAAGGGTAACAAGAAAAGAAGCAACAAGATTGAAAAACGAATTTTACCATATGAAATGCAACGAATAGACAAAACGAGAAACATACAAAAAAACTTGAAAACTTTTTGTGACAAAGAGGATGACGAGTCTTCCGAAAAGTTATTTGTTTCTGCAAGATTCACGCAAAAACATCATCGTACAAATAATGTCTCGCTTCAGAAGAGAAGAATAGTAGATCCAACAGATTCATCCAGCGAAGATTCGTTTTACACAAACGAAAATTTGTCTAGCTCATCTAAAAGAAATAAACAAAATAAGAACGAGAGTGATCGAAAAGTGAAATCTGTACGGAATGTTTATTCTTTGCGGAAAGTTTCAAGATCAGTTGTAAAAGGAGAAAATATATTGAAGAATAATAAAATATTTAGTGATTCAAATAATGATTCTAGCGATACGTCATCGAATAAAACAAAAAAACATACAATTAAACATAATAGGTCTGAAAAAATATTGAAACCTAAAACAAATAATTGTTCTTCTGACAGTGAAAATGATGAGAATGATACAAATATAACATTAAGTGTATCCAAGAGGACTTCAAAAGATACTAGACAACAGAATAAAAAAATGAATAATTCTTATAATGCAAGATCGAGGGACAAGGCAAAAAAATATGATTCGACTAGTGAATCTGAAGATGAAAAACATATAAAACAATATAGGAGAAAACGCTCAGAAACGAGTCAGTCAATATCGCACATTAATGAAGAACGAAAACGTGACAAGTCATCGAAGCAGCAACTTTTTAATATTCAGGAAGATGATTCAGATAACAGTTCTAGTAAAGAATTTAAAACAATAAAACTTCATAAAGTGAAACACAAGTACTCTATGAGGCAATTGGCAGACTTGGATGTAGATTATACTAGGACACCTAAAAATTTTGCAAATGATAAGAGTGATAAAATCAATGAACAATCAAAACAAAATTTTAATGATATGGAAAAAATTGTAACGGACTGTAAAGAAATGTGTTCAAATTTTCAGATGTATATTGAAAGTATAGAACGATTACATGGCAAAGGAGATGAAGAAAAACTTATATTGAGATCTATAGAAAAAATTGATAAGTTAAGGATGACATTGAAAGAAAAGAGTAAGAGTTTAACAACTTCTTATCAGTCGTGGTCTAGGAATAGGAAAAAATCTACTGCAAAGCGATTAAATAAAGTTAGCGATAACAAAATCGCTAACTCTTCTGAAGAATCGTCTTCAGAAGAACATGAAAAACGTATAGAAGATGAGGATAAACACGTCTTTGATAATAAACAGAGTGGAAATAAGGCTGTGTCTGAATGTGATAGCGAAGAAATATTTTCAACAGATGAAACAAGATCACCAGAGAAAATAGTGAGTTCAGCAAAAACGGAAAAAGGTATAAATAACAATGAAACTAACATTAATGATGAAGATGGAATGTCAATTGACAAATCAAAGAATAATGATAAACATAATGTAGAAGTGCAAGATGATTCTCCTGAATTAAATTTAAAAAAGAAGATTAGCATGGAACGATCAAGTAAAAAGCAACTCTTTTCAGAATGCAATAAGAGCAACGATAAGACAAAACCGTTGAATAAAAATGAAAGTGAGATTGAAGATTCTCCTTCGAGAAATAGCGGCTCGAATATGGCATTAGAAAATGATCGAATAAATCAGTCAATAAAGAATATAATCAACGAGTCATCGGATATGTTCGACACATCTCTCGAAGATGCAGAAAAGAGCACAGCGGAGATCGAAACAAATTGTAGTAAAGAAGAGCTTTTACAAACGTTTAAAGATAACATTTTAAATCATCATAAAAATTCCTTACAAAGTGAAGTTTCAAACGAAAAAGAGAGGATATTTCTTAAAAAAAAAGATTTATCAAATCAAGATAATCAGGAAAACGCTATATCTGTAATCAAGGAAGTTAATAACGACTTAACACCATCCAGAAAAACGAATACAGATGACAACGACTCAACACCATCCAGAAAAACGAATACAGATGACAACGACTCTGTCGATGACGCTGAAACACTGGCAAAGAAAGCTTTGTTAGCAACTGACTCTGACACATTAGACAATGAAAATTACATAACTAACACAGCTAAGTCAACTAAAGTTTTATTCACAGATGATACTAATCAGATCGAAAGAAAACATGAATTAGAAGATAATGATTCTGATGTCAATAGCGTTAGTACAATAGTGCTTCCAACCTATACAAAAGATGCGAATATCAACTCTGAAAAAACTGTTGACACTGAAACGGAAATTGAAGCTAACGGGAAAAGCGATGATCAACCAGATAGAAAATCTCATAAAGAAATTAGCTCTTCAAAAGATGAAAATGATAGAGCTAATAAAGCTGCCAAAATATCTCTTTTAGAATCAAATTCGGACGATTCTACACTTTTGTCATTGGAATCGGAAAAATTCACCAATAAAAAGTCTGAGTCGGATTCTTCCAAGAAAAATGCCGAAGCGAAGCTGTCACTTCTAGCATCTTCCAGTGAAAACTCCAATTCTGAACCAACTTCGTCTGAAATGACAAATGTTTCGAAAAATATTAAACGTAATCGTGAGCTTGAGAGTGATGAAGAACATTTTGTTACTAGATCCAAGAAGAAAAGATTCAAACTCGATGAAAATCATCATTACAAAAATAATAAGAAATTGAGAATGTCCTGCAAAGTTTATTTAGTGCGATTGAGCACGGAAATTCTTAAACGCCACTCAGATACGTTAAAAAAGTCAAGAGAACGTCTGGAACGTAAGGAACTTGAAAGGTATCCAATATCTTCTGTAAAATCTGCATCTATTGTTTTGCATCGTTTGACATATTCGAATGGCTTATTATAGATTTTAAGTATATCATGATATAGAGTAGTTAGGATTTATAGTATGATTATACATACACTAGCAAAATTAAATTTTGCATAAAAGATATCTCGTTAAGTTTATTATATAACAATGGAAATTAATCAAAATAAATGTACTACATTATATTAGCATTATTTTTGTTTACGACTGAGGCATAATTTATAAAATATTTCAAAATATTTTTATTATATACTGTCAAAGATGCAGTCAAAACGAACATTTGTAATTCATACTTCGACTGAAAAATTTTTCTTTCATAAAATCTGCAAATAGATACGTACAGAAGTATAAAATTCATTTTCTTATCCAGTTTTTTTTTTTAAGCTGTTATATCTGAGTGATTATCTGAAAACATGGGTAATTCTGGGAACTTTTTGTAATTAAATAATTAAATAAATGGAATATTCCGATTTTTTTTAAAGTCTTTAATGTACATATCTTAAGCTTACTTTGAGATATGTATGATACATTAAAGACTTTAAAAAAATCGGAATATTCCATTTATTTAATTATTTAATTACAAAAAGTTCCCAGAATTACCTATGAGCATCAATATTATTATATTGCTCAATTTAATTCATAATATTACTACTCTAGTTCTGATTGCATTTCAAAACTAAAAATACTTCCGGTGCGCAGTTTACAATATTTGAATTGTGATATATAAATTCACATGGAATATTATTTTCTGATAATTATTTGTATTATTTAAATTAAAATATATATAACTTACCAAATTAAACAAAAATAAAAGCTCTACAGAATTAATCAGTAATAAATAATAGCAATAAGAGCCAAACATTAATGAATAGAATTTATTTTATTTCAGCATACATATAGCTTGGTTTACAATCCTTAACTCATTTATCCATCCATACACTCTATTAAATTTGTTTATATCGGTACTTATATCCTTTCTACTCTTACTACTCCTACCTCCTCTTTATTAATCTGCCTATTGTACATCTCTTACCCTATACTATCTTATTACTGTATTATTTCTCTATTTAACCTAAATCACAGCTCATTTCACAGCCCTATTCACAATTTTTGTATTTCTATCTTTTTATCTTTACTATTCCTATCTATATTCATAATTCTTAATTTTTTCACCTGTTATCAATATATCCTATCCTCTATTCTTTGCTCTCAAATCATTCCAATCTTTTCTGTTCCTATAGCTTCTTCCTTCCTCTCTTCTCTCCGCACAATTATCTCTATTTTTCCACAATCTCCTTAATTACTTCTCCTTTGGTCTTGTTCAAATTTTCCTCCCACAATTTACTTACAAGTAAATCTACCCCCCTACCCCTACCCAACTTACACTCTGATTTTGATGAGTTTTATCTGAAGAACAATATATTAAAAACTTTTTAGTATGTTATTCTTTAGATAAAAATAAACGACACATATTTTTTTATCCGGGCTTGTACACATTTTTAAGGGATGAAACACCTCTTTGAAAAAAATCGGTTTTTCTCTTTCAAAGCGAATAACTTTCAAAACTATAAAAAATTTCTAGAATAAAAATTGAATAATTTCAAGAGTACTTTATAATTATAATTTTTGTATACTTCCATCTCCATCCCTATTTTCAAAAATTTTTAAACTTTTCTATGACGAAAATTAAAGAGCATTTTTTGCTCTTTAATTTTGAAAACAACGGTGTATATAAATCACTTTCCGAAAAATCATTTTTCAAATATGAACGAAAACGTCTCTATGTAAGCGCTTTGTACGTGCGCGCGTGTACGAATACTTTAATTTTCATCATACAAAAGTATAAAAATTTTTTTAAATAGAGGTGAAGATGGAGGTATACAATAAATAAATAATTTAAAAAATTTGTTATAAAGTACTACTCTTGAAATCATTCAATTTTTATTGTAGAAATTTTTTTCTATCTCTTATAGTTTCTATCTTCAAGATATTCGCTTCGAAAGAGAAAAACTGATTTTTTTCAAACGAGCATTTCACCTCTTAAAAGTGCGTATCGGCCCATATAAAAAAATACGTTTCGCATATTTTTATCTGGAGAACAACATACTAAAAAAACTCAGCGAACATACTAAAAACTCATCAAAATCAGAGTATAACACTTGGGTAGATTTACTTGTTACGAGGGCAAGTCAATAAGTTTTTAGAAAAACATAGTAAAACACATTTTTTTTAATCGATTCATTTTTATTTTTCAACATAGTCTCCTTTCAGCTCGATGCACTTGATCCAACGATTCTCCAATTTTTTCAAGCCGTCCGAATAATATGATTTGTCCAACCCTTCAAAATAAGCTAGCTGTTTCGGCGATGAGCTGCTCTTTGGTGGTGAATCTCTTTCCTCCGAACCATTTCTTCAGGTTTGGAAACAGGAAATAGTCGCAGGGGACCAAATCTGGCGAATATGCTGGATGGGGAAGCAGTTCGTAGCGGAATTCGTTGAATTTGGTCATCGGTGCCGGGCACGTTTGAACCCGTGCATTGTCTTGATGGAAGAGTACTTTCTTCTTCGCCAAATGGAGACGTTTTTTCTTTAAAATGTTGTTGAAACCAATAAGACTGCGTAGTAATCGCCATTGATCGTTTGCTTCGATGGAAAGTAATCGATGTGAATTATACCGCGTGCATCTTAAAAAACTGTAGCCATCACCTTTCCGGTCGACTTCACGGTCTTCGCTTTCTTCAGAGCTGGTTCACCCGGTCAAGTCCATTGTTTTGACTGTTCCTTCGTCTCGGGTGTGAAGTAATGGATCCATGTTTCGTCCACAATAATGAATCGACGCAGAAATTCATTTAGATTACGTTGAAACGTCTCCAAACGTTGTTTCGAAATCGTCACACGGTCGCACTTATGGTCCATAGTGAGCAAACGCGATCTTGCCGATAGCTTTTTCATGCCCAATTGTTCGTGCAAAATTAAAATTACTATACCACGTGATGTACCTGTGGTCTCAATAAGCTCGCGCACTTTCACTCGTCGATCAGTCAGAACAATATCGTGGACTTTATCAATGATTTCTGGCGTAGCAGAATCAATTAGACGTCCCAAACGAGGTGCATCACGTGTGGATGTACGTACACATTTAAATTCATTCACCCAATTGTATACAGTCGCAAACGCTGGTGCAGATATGCTATGAACATTATCAGGCTCGGCTTTAATTTTTTTCGTCGTTAAACCTTTTATATGTAAATGTTTGATTACTGCACGAAACTCGTTTTTTTCCATTTTGCAAAAAATACAAAGGTTGTTCGCTCTAATCATCTACAGAAATGAAACTTCTCGATGAATTCCGCTCAAAATTTGACAGTAATCGGCTGAAAGATGCTACTTGTCAAAAAGTAATATGACATGACACTGCGAGTGCCCTCTGACAGATTTTCTAAGAACTTATTGACTTGTCCTCGTTAGTACTTTATTTCCTTTAATTTCTCACATTCTCTCATATGATGCTCCAGATTGTCCCTCCCTCTTCCACAACTACTTTCTTCTAGCCAAAACTTGTTGTCCTCTTCTAAATTTTCGTACCTTAAATTTATTAAAGCTCTCACTTCATCCCATCGTCTCGATTCTTTCAGATGTTTCTGTTTAAGATATGCTGGGATCCCGCAATCTAAACTTATTTCCATTTTCTTATTATACTTAGCTTTTATAATTTTACTTTCTCCCTACTATCTGTATCTCCCTCTTTCTCTTAAAATTCTTCTTCAAAACCTTTCTCTCCCACTTTCACTTTCCTCGCCTCTACTCTCAATCATTTCTATTTTAGTACCTTTCCCTTCTGTATGTATCGTCCCAATCATAGCACTTTTTTTTCCAGCATACCTTCACTAAATTCCCTACTCTCTGTTTTAATAAATAAAATGAACAATTCTAGATTATTCATAAATTAATTTCCGCTCGTATGATAATAAAACAAATTCTTAAATAGCATACCAGGTCAAATTATTTATTTGAATGAGCTAATAATAGATACTAAAATTAATTTTAAATAATCTTTACAAGTATAATTTTACGCAGAACGTTTTGACTTAGTCATCATCAGCCGCTCTGTTTTAATCTTTTTTCGTACCTTCTTGCCCTAATACCCCATTCTACTCTTAACTTATCCATAGCCAGTTTCCTCATTATTGTATATTTTGAGGTACTAAAGTCTAGGTTAAAAATCCATCTGATATAGGACCGATTGTTCTAGTTTTTGATAAAGTTTATCTGTTAGGTAAGTAGCAAGATTACTCAATCACGTGCGCGGATTGTCAGATTTACTTAACGGGTAAATTTTACCGAAAAATGGAACAATCGGCCCATAATCTATCATTATTTTTTCTAGTTCATCCTTCTCCCCAGTCCCATATCTCAACCCCGTAAGCCATTACATTCTGTACCAAGTATCTAAATAGTATCCATCTCTTAAAGTCATTTCGGTATATCCTCTCTCCTAACCCCCACATTCTACATAACTCCTTAATCTCGTAATCCTCCCATCCCCCTATTAATAATAAAACCTAAATATTTAAATTCTTGCACCTCTATTTCATTTCCATATTTCTGTCCTTTCTAACTTTTCGATTACATACCAGCACTTTTGTTTTTCCATGCATAATTCTCTCTAAACGCTTCTCTGCTAAAAACTTTTTAAGAGTGTCCATCATCCTGTAAAGCTATCCTATTTTTCGCCACTAATATTACGTCGTCCGCATATGCTAAATCCTATATTCTATCTCCTCCTAATTTCACCCTACCCATATATTCCTCGTCCTTAATTCAAAATCTAAATCCGTAAATATATATAAATTAAATAGGAGTGAACAAGCTCATCGCACATTCATCGGTATCAGGAGACGCGGTAGTGTCTCCGGCCATGTTAAAAAAACTATTAATTAATTTAAAAGTTAGTTTAAAAGATTAATAATAGACACTATAAGTCTCTTATTCCGAGCCACCAAAGTCAATTTTTCGGGGGTGCATAACTACAATAAAATAAAAAAAATTTTGAATCGAACGTTATGTCCTGAAAGGTGGTATCGCCATGAGTAATTTAAGCCAAAAAAGTTTTAAATCTGTTAAGCCATTCTGGAAATACAAGCGATCGACAATTGATACATTTGCAACCTACTCACTTATTCACCTGCTCGCTCAATCGTTCGATCACTTGTTTACTTACTCATTCCCTCACTCACGGTGTTACTTAATATATTAAAAAAAAAAAACCTACAGAATCTGAAAAATTTGAGACCGATGTGATTAAAATTGGCCGCATAATTCTCAAAATATTCAGTTATCAAGGCATACAGTATGTAAGAAAAGTAAATAAATAGTTTGCTATGTAACAAAAAAGCATTTAAGTAATATTTATTGATATTACATGAAGATACTTAAGTAATAACATTAACAAAATTTTTATTACTTTATAATTTACTTTAAAAAAAATAAATAAAAGGGCAGAACATGTTATAAACGCATATTACAAAAGTAAAAGAACAAAAACATAAACAAATTAATATTCACAACGATTGCCATTTTGCAATGACATTTTTGCCAATTGATCTAGTAAGGAAAGCGTATATTTTCTACATTCTTCGACAGTGATGAATAGTTGTCATTTTTTCTATTAACATCTGTAATTCCGCGACTTAATAAAATTGTTATAATGTACTTGTAATTACGTAAATAGCTTTATGTAATATCAATAAATATTTCTTCACCCGTGCACGTAAATTGCCCTACACCTTAACGCTTTTGCGTGCAGTAAATAGCCAATACCTGAAGCCGTTAAGTTATTTCTCTAATTCCACTCTTCTGCGCAAAAACGTTGATGTATAGGTCACATTACGACGAGCACTTGTAAAGAAAAATTCTATGTGTATATAGCGAGTGGGGGCATATTTGTTTATAGATCGACACGAATGCGCTTACGCACTCGCTTCGCTCGCGCCCGTCCCCACAATAAACAACATTCCCCCCACTGTTACACAATGTACTATTAAATTTATTGTATAAAGTTAGACATTTAACTTTACTTAAATACTTCTATGTTACAACCCGAACTGTTTACTTACTTTTGTTACATATTGTATATTTAATTGTAAAATATGTATAATGAATACAAATTTATTCATTTAATTTGGACCGAAATGAAATTTCAGTCTGGTTACGATCACGGTAACAGGCTGTACCCAATTTTCGGTTCCGGTTTCAATTCTACTGATAACGGTTTCGGTCTTTTTCGGTTTTTTCTGATCTTTTTCACTTTCTAAGGGTTGGCTTTTAACAGGTCGTAATCTGTTAATTTTTTCCGTAAGAATTGACTAATTACAGTCAAATGAGAGGAGAATAATCGACTATGATTGGTCAATTCTTACAGATTACAGAAAAAGTTAATAGAATACGGCTTATTATAAACCAATTCTGAGGCTGACCGTCCCATGGAGCGCGTTAATCTATAGCGAAACGGAATAGCGAGACTAAGGGCTGCCGCACACAAAATTCCGTGACTGTAAGACGTAAACTTAAGCCGATGAGCCAATCAGGATATTGTTTTAGGTTACGTAATCTAACGGAAATGGAAATAACAGTGAACTTATCTATAACCTCGCAACATGACAAGTTTCAACCAGTAATAATTGTAGAGCTGTGATTTGTCTCGTTGTTCCGTCCCGCTGTACATTTCCATAGGATGTCAGCTTAATCTTTTCTGAGCTCCATGCACCCCAAGTCAATCAGCGCAATTCGTGGTGAGTTGACGATTCTCTGATTATAGACTATGCATGCATAACGTATTGTTCTCGTGTTCACGACCGTACATACTGAGAAGTTGAATTTTGAACCGAAAACAGGATTAAAATCGAACCGAAAAACATCTTCGATCTGGTTACCGTTTCGGTCCATTAGCCTGCACAATATTTCGGTCCGAGTCCCTGGGTTTAATACACACTTCCATAAATCGACAATTATTTGGAATTAAAGAAATGGGGGGAAAAGGGGGGGGGGGGGAGTGAGTAAATAAGTGTGTGTAGTATTTCAAAAAATGGTATCTATAATTTTTCTGTGATCTTAAAGATTTTGTATATTATGAACTTAATATTATTTATAATTTTTGCTTTTATAGTGCCTGAAAAAAATTTACACATTATATAATAAATTTTTCATGTAACAAAGGACCTTTCATCAGTCTTACGAGAAAAATGTCTGCGGTTTTGGCTAATTTTTGGATATGTGTAGTTCTCTTCATTCTGAACAAATGTTTCATGAGCACAACTTGATCCTATGAGCCGTTTCCGCACTACAAACCTTGAAAGATTTCGATTTAATGTTCAAGTGCAGTAGTATTCAAGTATATAGTCATCATCAACACATAATTATCAGAGAGTGTTTGGAGTCATTAAATGCTACGGGAGTAAAGAATAGTCCTTATTTCTACTAACACGCTCACATGCACATTCGACCGAACTGGACCTTTCAAGGCTTGTAGTGAGGAAACGGCTCATAGGATCAAGTTGTGTTCATTGAAACATTTATTCAAAATGAAGACAACTACAACATATCTGCCAAAAATTAGCCAAATCTGTAAAAAAACATTTTCTCATAAGATTGGCGCGGGGTCCTTTAATTTATTATTAATTGGTTATTATCCAAAGTACCGTATTTCCATTATCCTTTACAGTCTTCTTAATCTGGATAAACTTGAAAAGAGTTCCAAAAAAAATACAAAGAAAGATTCTGATTCGTTGACAGACAACGATTCGTCCTCGAAGGTTTTAAAAAACTCAAACAAAAAGAAAAAGACTAAAGAAAAATCTTTGATGGATTATTTGGATAAAATAGAAAACGAGGATGCAATTGAAACGGCAAGTGTAGATATGAATTTTGATACTGAAGAATTAGTTCATCAAATGAATGTAGACGATGTAACTATCTCTAATGAAGCTCTTATATCAGAGGCAGATAGAATAGCAAAAGAAAATCTGTTAAATTCCTCTGATTCAGTCGGTAAGCAATTTGGTATTAATTAAGTAAGAAATATTATACAAACAACATTTTTTAATAATTGGATTTACTCTATAATATCTTCTATATAATAATCAAGATTGCTTTTGTTTAGTTTTTATTTTTTTATTGTTCATTTGACTTGAATTTCTCATATAAATCTAATCTTGTTGAAAATAACGAGTAATATTTTTTTTTAATTTTTATGTTTGAATCTTTCAATGTTAAAAGTAATTATACATTATTTACAATCACGTATATAATATTTTTATCATGAATATTATATTATATGTTATTTAAACTTAGACAAAGAAGTGGACAGTGATTGTAGCATAAAGAATGATGATATAAGAGAAAAAGAAGAGAACAAGAAAAAGAAATATCGGGAGAAATCTGAAGACAAAACTTCGAAAAATGATGTAAGACATTTTATTATTTAATAAAAAAATCAATAGAGAGAATACATAAATAGGGTATTTGGTAAATACCGTTTAAAATGATTGAGATATTCAGACTCAATAGTCTGGACTATTGTATACTATCAATAGATAGTTAATACTATATGCGTATTCAATCAGTATTCAATAGTCCAGACTATTCTTTTTAACAGTAGTGGAGACCCCCCGCAGGGGGGCCGGAACCTACTGTATTCACTCGTACAACATAAAGCGACATGGAAGTTGCGAGCTCATTCGCAGAAAAAGAGGTGGAGTAAGAGTTGTTTCGCATGAATACAGTAGGTTTCACTATTGTTAGAAAATTACTTCAACGCTTAATATCTGAAAAACTATAACAGATCGCCACTTAGTTGTTAAGGCAAAGTTGCTCAGAATCAGGACCTTGACAACATATGTCAAGATCAAGGTCATCGGAGCTAGGTCCCCTAAAGTACATAATTACCAAAAATGCTTCTGAATTATTGATTATTATATCGCAATTATTAATTATTATATCTTATTAATTAAAACGAGGTGAAGGACAATAAGAGTCAATTCGTAAGTAAACAAGAAAGCGATTATAACATTAAAAATATAATATGAATTTAAAAAAAAAAAAAATACAATAAAATACTTAGCCGCTTTTGACAATATTAAAAATTAGAATATCAGTCAATATATAATAATATAAAAAAATCGTTCGATGTAATATGTCGTGCCGTTCGTGCCGTAACAAGTTTCGACTCTTGGTTTGAGTTCTCTTTAGACGTTCAACAAAAATTCCTTATTTCCACATAATTGAGACAAAACATTTCTCACTGACTCCTCGATTTCTCCCTTCGTTACACAACATTGGCAATACAAGATGGCAAAGTCGTATATTGAAACAATGTATCTGTAACTTGGCATGAGAACAAAATCAAAAAATGTGAAAATAATGAAATTCAAAAAGAAATGTCTAACTCACCAACGAAAACGATTTGTCAGTTTACAATACGAAAGTTAAATAAAATAAAAGAAGTCATAGAGTAAAATGAACATAAAAGTAATAACACAAAACATTTACTTACGAATTGACTCTTATTGTGTCCTTCACCTCGTTTTAATTATTATTTTCATATAAAGAGTCCTTCAATTTTAATTTTATTTATATCTTATTACACAAAATAAGCAAAAAATGTAATTCTTCTGTCAAAATCTTTTAGAAAAAAGATAAAAGCGATTGGAGGAGAGACACGATATTGAGAACGGTATTTTCTGACTCTGATTCCGATGCTGAAAGAGAAAAATGGGAGAAAAAACAAGAAAAAATTGAAAATAAATCTAAAGGGAATAAGTAAGTTATTTATTTTATCTTATTTTAGAAACTACGTACGATCTTATTTTTCTTTGCAGCAGTGATTCTGACGACAAAGCAAAATTGGTTAAATCTAAAAAGAAGAAGAGGATGTCCGGACGAAGAATCATTGATTCGGATTCAGATGTTAAAATAATGGATGTAGATTCTGATAGTTCTTCTGAAATTTCAAGTGTACAAAATTCAAGCGAGTCAGATAACACGAAAAAAGAAAAAAAGAAATTGAAATGGATTAAAAGACGTAAACGCAGTAATTCATCAGATACGGATTCTTCACTTGCAGAGAAGTAAATTAACATATATTATGTTCATCTATTTTATTTCTGTCTATTCTGTACGCTTTAGCTTATATAATTTATAGACCAAAACCAAAACGAAAGCGTATAAAAAAAATGGCATCTGACAGTGATAGTAGTGACGTAGAAGTGATAAACTCGCAAGGATCTACACCCGGTCAAAGTGGTCGAAAAAATATACGGAAAGTTTTGAAGGACAAGCAAGTAGCGGAAGATACAAAACTAGCCGCTAAAGAAGAGGAGGAAAGACTTAAACGTATCGCTGATCGTCAAGCTCTGGTATATCCCGCAATCATGTTAACAATTTCCATTTATCACTAACATGTTTATATATATATATATATATATATTATACGTAGATATTTTTTTATTATATAGTACAATGAAATGTTTGAGATGAGACTTGCCGGTGAAGAAAAAGTAGACAAATTAGTTTTAGACTTCGATACAGAAACGAAGCAGGAACTCATTACTGTACATAAGGAATTGGTGAAACATCTGAAGCCGCATCAAGCGCAAGGCATCAAATTTATGTGGGACGCTTGTTTCGAGTCTCTAGAAAGGGTGGACACTACATCCGGATCTGGATGTATAATCGCGCATTGTATGGGTTTGGGTAAAACGTTACAGGTGATTACTCTGACGCATACACTTCTCACTCACGACGCGACAAAGATTAAGACGGTACTGGTAGTTTGCCCATTAAGCACGGTACTTAATTGGAAAAATGAGTACAATACATGGCTGAAGGATTTGGATGATATCGAAGTGTACGAACTGACAAAGTGGGTATTTGATACTCAACATTTACCAGTTGTTTTATTATATTATTTATAACTGTTATCTAAAGAATGTAATACAATTTTGCAATTAAAGTCTTCATTGTTTAAATAAAAAAATATTTCCAGATTTAAGAAGAATTTTGAGAGGAAATATCAACTGCAGAGATGGCAAAACACCGGTGGTGTGATGATCATTGGCTATGAAATGTTCCGTAATCTTACGGGTCCAAATAAAAATATTCGAAAAAGTATGAAGGAAATTATGTTGGAATGCCTAGTTGATCCAGGTGCTGATCTTATTGTTTGTGATGAAGGCCATTTATTAAAAAATGAAGATACTGCATTAAGTAAATGCATGAGAAGCGTGAAGACAATGAGACGTATAGTACTTACTGGGACACCTTTACAGAACAATTTAATAGAATGTAAATATCTTATAAAACTTATTTTTGTAATTGTTTATTTTTTTTTTTTAAATATTTTACATCTCTTTAATTATATATTTTGCAGATCATTGTATGGTACAGTTCGTGAAACCCAATTTGTTGGGTACAAAGAAAGAATTTTCAAATAGATTTGTAAATCCAATAACAAACGGTCAGTGTGTTGATTCTACTGCTTTTGACGTTAATTTAATGAAGAAACGCGCACACGTGTTGCACAAAATGTTAGAAGGTAGCGTGCAAAGATTCGATTACTCCGTGCTTACGCCGTTCCTGCCACCCAAACAGGAATATGTTATTTTTGTCAGACTGACAGATATTCAAATTAAAATGTATCAATATTACCTAGAAAATTTTGCCAAGTGAGTCTCTTAAAAATCTTATATCTTTGTTATGCTTTCTTGTTTAAATTACTTAAAATACAATTATTAAATTAATTGTATTACTTTATATGATTGAGTACATTATTTTGCATAAATTATCATTTTTATATTAAAAAATTACATAAAAATGATTTAAAATGCAATTATCAAGTTAAATTGACTGTATTACTTTGTTTGATTGAAAATATTATTTTTCCTCCTATAGACGTCAATTTGGTTCAGGAAGAAGCCATCTTTTTGCTGATTTTCAAGCATTACAAAGAATCTGGACGCATCCCATAGTTCTACGTCTAAATGCAGAGAAAATAGAAAAAGCAAATGAGAAAAAGGAACTTTCTAGCGATTCAGCGGGTTCGTTAAAAGATTTCGTTGTTGATGGTACTACCGATGAAGAGAGTACCAGTAGCAACGATTCGAGTGATGACAGTGATGTTCAGGCGATCGATGATAAAAAAGACGAAAAAGAACAAACATCTGTTTTTAAACGTAAAACAAGAAATAATCCTATCGGTAAGTTTCCATAATACAAGAACGTTGATTTACGTCCTTTATTCATACTGGTTGCAATCGCTGAAAAATTGCGCTGCTATTATGTAATAAAAGTCATGTTAGATTTTCAATTGTGGTTTTAATTTTGTTTAATTTCATTTAATTTCATTTTTTTTTTGTTTAATTTTGTTTAATTGTTTAATTTCTGAGTAATTTTAATTAAGTTTGTCGATGTCAAAACTCTGGGTGAAGATAGCTTCACCCTATGGTAGCCCTCGCAAATTTAGCAACGGCAGGAATATACAGGGTCAGGCATTTAAAACAGATCACCTAAATAACTCACTTGTTTTACAACAATAGAAGGAAAAGTATCAAACAAAATAGGCAAAGGTCAAACCTATTTTTTTAAATGGAATGATGTTTTTTTAATTTTCCATTCAATTATTTTCCATTATTGCTCTATCAAAATGTAAATAAAAAACATTCCATTTAAAAAAAACAGGTTTGACCTTTGCCTATCCTTTACGCCTCCACCTACAATACAATTATTAACATCACATTATGTGCCCCTTGAAACCAAGCAACTTTTGTTTGATACTTTTTCTTCTATTGTTAAAAACAAGCGAGTTATACAGGTAACTTGTTTTAAATGTCTCACCCTGCAGTAACGTTCATGCAGCCTGCTTTATATTTTTGTGCACTTTACATTGTGACGCTACCACGTCGCTTGATTATTGCATTTAAAAAAATAAAACTTGTTGAAAATATTAAAAAAAGATAATTTAAAACTTATTAAAGTCATATAGATTTTTTTATACAAAATGATAGTATGTATATAGCATAGTAAAAGTGTAAAATTTAGTAAATACATATACACTTGCTAGTCATTGAGTGAGTTCAAGTCGATAAAATGGCTAGGTCTATTTGTCGAGTAATTAAACATGACTGGTTGGATCCACAGGCAGGAACCAATCATATACTCGGCAAGCATGGCCAATCATTTTATCGTCTTAAACTTGCCCATTAGTTGCGGTCAGCAAATTTAATAGTTAAATGAGCGCTCGTTGCTATTGATATATTCCTCTAATGGCCGATTGTTCCATCTTTTGGTAAAGTTTATCTATTAGGTAAGTAGCAAGATTACCTAATCACGTGTGCGGATTGTCAGATTTACCTAACAGGTAAACTTTACCGAAAGATGGAACAATCGACCATAAATCTGCCTTTAGAAATCTACTCTTAAATGTTGTTACGTTCTTTACTGGACATTCTATACATATAGGGTTTCTGCATACTTATGCACTTGGCTACTACTTTTTATCTTGTAATCTAACAGATATACATTTATTGAATTAACACTTTGACAGTCACACATACATCTCAATCAAACACTCATACTTAAACGGCTTAAACCAAACACAAAAATAATGTAAATAAAAACATACTAAATTAATTTTTTAGAAGAAGAATCAACGGAACAGATTAAAGAGAATCCAGAAACAGAATCCCTTACAGACTGGTGGTTGCAGTTTGTACAACCTGAGCATTTTGACGATGTAAGAACGTCAGCTAAACTATTACTTCTCTTTGAAATTCTAAAGGAATGTGAACAAATCGGTGATAAAGTGTATGTATATTTTGTATTTAACTTTTTAGTAAATAATTTTTACATTGCTATTTATTATTGTATTACTGATTATTTTATAGGCTCGTATTCTCTCAATCTCTATATTCTCTCACATTAATCGAGGAATTTTTAAGAAAAATAGATGATCAGACTCAGAATGGTGCATCTTGTGACACTCTTGATAATCATACCGGAAGTTGGTCTTTAGGACTCGATTACTTTCGATTGGACGGTCAGACTTCGCCTGAAAATCGAAATATGTGGTGTAAGATATTTAATAGACCCACCAATATGAGAGCAAGATTATTCCTCATATCCACACGCGCTGGAGGATTAGGAATAAATTTAACTGCAGCAAATAGAGTGATTATATTTGACGCCAGTTGGAATCCCTCTCACGACGTACAAAGCATATTTCGGGTATACAGGTACTTCTGTTGACGTTTTTCATTGTCTAATCCTTTTCTTATAATTATATATTTCAAATCGATCGTTTTTGATTTATCGATACAACGATCAACAGATTTGGACAAAAAAAGCCGTGTTACGTATATCGATTTCTCGCTGCGGGAACCATGGAGGAAAAAATTTACAATCGTCAAGTTACGAAACTGTCGCTTTCATGCCGTGTAATTGACGAACAACAAATCGAACGACATTACAGCAATCACAATTTAAACGAGTTGTATACGTTTGAGGGATATGATAAAGAAAAACCTACATTAAATTTACCTAAAGATAGACTATTAGCGGAGATATTTTTAAAGTTCAAGGATGTTGTAGAAAATTATCACGAACATGACTCTCTATTGGAAAACAAGGTGAGAAATATTTTTTTCTTTTGTATAGAAAGGATGTTTATGTGACGAATTTAACAGGCGGAAGAAGAATTAGACGAAGAGGAACGCAAACAAGCTTGGTTAGAATATGAAGAGGAAAAAAAAGGAAAACCAGTAATACATCCGATGATGAATCCAATAATAGTAAATCAAAACAATGCGTTTCTACAGCAATTAATAATGATGAGAAATTCCATACAGTCTAACATGCTTTCTCAAAATGTGTTGAATGAATATGAAAATCTCCAACAACTTATTCGTAAAGATGTAAGCCCTTAATACTATTATAAGTGTTCAAGTCAATTTACTCAAGTGAGTAAATTATTTATAATTTTGACTAATTTGCAGTATCCGAATGCATCACCGGAACAACAGAAAATGATAACAAATCGAGCCTTTACGGAGATGTACGATTATTGGGAGAAACAAGCAACGCTAGGCAATAACCAACCTGTACAATTAATACAAAATCCAATTTTGCCGGTAATAATTTATTTTACTGTAATAAAATGTAATGCGTATAGTTTTTATAACACAATATTTTATAGAATTTTCAACAAAGACCACAAGCCCCGAATTTTCAACAAAGGCCACAAATTCCGGCAACGAGCAATCTTCACATAAATGTAAATGTTTATTTATGTATGTATATTGAGTCGTACATTTTTTTTGTAATATTTTATATTTTCTTGTAGCAAGTCTCGCAGTTGAACCAATTGCTTTCGGGGCAATCGATGAATTATATGAACTCGCAGCATCCTGCGCAACTAAGTGATGCACAAAAGGGAGTTGTACTTCCAAATTTATTTATAAAACAGAGTATCTCGTCAAATAATAATAGAAGCGGAATCGCGGACCAGGATGTAGAGGTACAGTACTTACACTACATAATTATTTTGTTTGAATATGATGATTCCTAAATGTAATTATGCTATTTAAATTTATAGATTCCTACTACAAGTAATACAGGAACAACACGTCAGAGCGAGATGAGTAGCGTACAAATAGCTGCGCAATCAAGTGATAACAGTAAAATCCAGGAGGAGTAAAAAATTCTATATAAATATTTTATATGAATTATTTCATAAGATAGTATTATCTGTAGATCTATATAAATCTTGATTATAAATCGTATTATAACCCCACATTATCAATTGAAAAAGAAATACGCACACTGTATACGAAGATAGTATTTATATTTTCTGTTAATTTCCTATGTAAGTAAAAATAATACTGTGTGTTAAGATTAATAATATTTGTATAATCACAGATCTATGTGCATGTAGACAAGTTGTGCGTTGTATATTTCAAGATTTAATATATGTAGGATAATACAGGATGAGGCACTTAAAATAGGCCTAAATGAAACTTACATTTTTTAAAATAGTTTGAAAGAAATAATTTAAATAAACCTTGTTTTTCTTGGATGTCCCTCTTCAACTCGACAAATATTGTTTAAAGTATTTTTTCTGTTTTTTATTTTAAAAAAAAGTTATTCAAATGAGTTTTAAGTGCCTTGACCTTGCATAAGATCATATATATTTAAGGATATACAGTGTCCGTCAAAAGTCCCGGGTAAATGTTAAGAAAAGGGGAGCCACCTCCGATGATCTCGATCTTGACGATATGTTGTCAAAGTCGTGACCCTTAGTGAGCCGGTTGACGCACCCTGTAGTAGAAATAAAATGTAATTTTTCAAACTTTTCGTTCATAACTTTTTAACGGACAGCGACCGCCACCTAAAACCTAATGGAGGTCACTCAGAATCACGACTTTTATACAACATATGTCAAGGTCATCAGAGGTGGCTCCACTTTTCTTAATATTTACCAAGTCCCGGACTACCTGAATAATGTTTGATGGATTAAAATGGCCCACCCTGTATAACGAGGCTGTATTTTATAGGGTACGAAAGATATTTAAGAAAAACTCGTATAGAGAGAGAAAGAAATAGTTTTTACGTATATTATAAAACTTTTACCGATATTTTACTTAAGAATCACTTAAAAAATTCATTTTTTAATTCATTAAATTTATATTGTTAAGGGGAAGGGGATACAATCGAATTTAATCCATTTGTTACTGTATGTATGTAAAATCTATTTTCCAAACATTTTTAGTAGATACACATTGATAACAAATTCTGTAATTTTATTTACATTTCTCATCATGAATAAGTTATATAATTGTTTATTATCAATTAATTTATTAATTACATGCCATATATGTAGACAAAGAAATCCCTTAAATGTTTAAAATAGAAATGTAATACTAAATATTGTATTGATGTAATATGAAAATGTTTATTAATAAATTTCGCTCGTTTTTTGCAATGCAAATTAAATAAACGGTTTAAATCTAGCAAAATGAATTTAATAATCATAATTAGAAGATTTACAATATATAAAAAACTATTTAAAAATGTCGTACGTTTCGAAATTCACGGGTCCTTCTTCAGCGATTATTACAGATGTTTGCGTCGTATTATATTCTTATAAGCGTTACAGATATATGCTGATTATCTCAATCATAGTTCGAATTGATTTTCCTGTTCTTAATGCGAGTATTGTCTAGAGTTAGATTATAATTAGTTGTCGTCAATAAAGATAGTCAATGAGATAAAATAAATTAAAATGAATAATTTAGTCAAAGATAATACTGAATTCGATAAAAGTTAAGGATAATACGTCAAGTTTGATGAAAATTGAATATAATAACTTACAAAGGCATATGAGACAATACCATCATTACAAGTTCATCCGATTGAGTTGAATCCAGATCAATGATAAAACGCAAAAATATAATAACGGAAACTCTAAGCACTAAGGTTGACATTCATTTGTTTGTCTTAGACTCTGTTTTAATAAATAATAAGATTCATCTAGATCGTCCGTGTTTTTTTGTGAGTTAATGCAGACATCATTATTATTGACGTATTATTTTTAACTTAATTATTAATTTATCAAATTCAACATTATCTTTGATTAAATTATTCATTTTAATTTATTTTATCTCATTGACTATCTTTATTGACGACAACTAATTATCTAACTCTAGACAATACACTCCCATTAAGAACAGGAAAATCAATCCGAACTATGATTAAGATATCAGCATATCTATAACGCTTATAATAATATTATCAATCCAACGACACAAACATCTGTAATAATCGCTGAAGAAAAATCTGTGAGTCCCGAAACGTACATTTTTTGTTAGTTAGTTTTTTATATTGTAAATCTTCTAATTATGATTATTAAATCCATTTAGCTCGATTTAGACTGTTTTTTTTTTTTATAAAAATGTTTATATTATAATCTTAATATCTTGGCAGAGCATCTCTCCATCCATTTTTTAGCAATTTTCTAAGATATCTTTTCGTTTTTAACATTTCTGGCAAAGCTGCGATATTAAAATCTTCTGCTCTGTCCGTTTTGTGATCGTATAACTCTTCTGCAATAATAACGTCCCAATCTGGTTTGCATGTCGTATGTGCAAATGGTATCCAGACAGTATAACGATAATTGCTGGTTTTCAAAGTATAGCCCATAATATTTATCTCTTTCAAGCGGGGCTTGTCGCTATTAGGATGCAGCACAGGTTGAATTTCTGGTCTTGGATATTGACTAAATGCCGCCTTTTTCCAAGATACTCTCTGAAATATTTACAAATTAACAGATAATAAAAATGGAAAATTTTTGTTTTATATAAAACGTTTGCACAAATCATGATGCAATATAAAAAATATCTTACCTGACATTTTAAAGTACTTTTTATAAGTGGTAATAATGTAATACCTTCGCTACAAGGATTAGGCACTTCATTTTGAGTGAGAACATTTTTTAAATGATCGTTCGTACTATTAATGTCTTGACATATTGGTATGGGAACACCCGCTAAATCCGCGATTGTCGGAAATATATCGACAAGTTCCACAATAGCGTTTGTAACTTGACAGTGCTTCTTGGAATGTAACGCATTGTTTCTCATAGATTTATGTCTTCGTTGAATGTACGTTTCAAAGAGAGTTCTTTTATGTTCCCTGCTTACATATCCTATACTTATATTTGAAGTTCCGATTTTTCCAACATGTAATATGTATTTTAAATTAACTGCATTTTCTATTTTATCATTGTTTGTAATCTGTGTATTATATCTCATATCATCTCTAAGTACAGCATCGTAATCAAAATCAGATGTGATTATTGGAATTGACATTATCAAAGGTACATGCACAGCAACGTCGAAATTGCTATATTTGGACCAGACAGCATGTTCTCCAAGTGCCCAACCTATACATTTAATACCAAAATTTACTATGTAATATACACGACTACTATGTATATATTCAGAGATGGGCAAAATGGGTGTCTCATAATTGTAATCTTTTCCATTCCAAAATAAAAAACAAAATGTCCTTTAGACACCCATTTAATTGAAATAGAAAATGGGCATTTTTTAAATGATTTTAAAAAAATATTTATGTTCTTATATTTATTTGTTTATCTTGTATTTGATGTTTTATTTCTTATTCTTATAATATCTTAAGAGGGAATCCGTCATTTTCTTCTCTCTCTCTCTCTCTCTCTCTCTCCTGTGAGATTTTATAATTAATACGTCATATGAAAAAAGACATTCTACTAGAGCTGAATTTGAAAGGTACATACGTGTTATATCCGAGAAAATTTTTTTGGCCGTGTCAGATAAGATTTTAACATTAATGCCTGTTTCCACCAATGCAGATTAACTTTAACTGTCGGTTTAACTTATTTTTCATCTTTTTTTTAATTTTTAGAATTAGAAAAAAATGAAAAGCAAATTAAACCGAGATTAGTTAATCTATATTGGTGGAAATAAAAGTGCTATAATCGCTATCATGTATGATATGATTCAAATACGATAGCCGAAAGCCAAACAATAATGCCAGACGACAGACATTTTTGAAGAAAGTGCAAGATTGACATATAATGCAGACGTGATTAATACGGACTCATTCTTATCATGGTATAAAAATATAAAGTTTTTTTATTGCGCATAATGACTGCAAATTGAATAATCAGAACAACACGAATCAAATGCTTGCCCCAAAGTTAGAGGAATGCACATGATAGCGGACAATAGAGGTCCTTTTTATAATTTGGGACGTTTTGATTGATCAAAGAAGCCCTGCATGTTCAAAACGACTGCGCATCCTTGAGAACGGAATATCTATTATATTCTTAAAGTATGTATATGTGCACCTATAGCGAATGAGTGCAAAGTTTGTATTTATTTTTATTATTTAAAAATCGCACAATTTGTTTAATTGCTGTGTAAAGTCGGAATTAGACCACGGATTCAAGATTGAAAATTGAAATTTGACCAATGAGGATAAAGGAATTTTAGCTCCTATTTTGATTAGCCAAAATTCAGTCTCAATCTTCAATGCGTAGTCTGATCTGTACACTTTTGTATTTGTACGTCTTATGTAGGATTTATATCTTTAAAGATATATACATATATATTTATAAACTAAGCGTTAAAAGACTTTTGTGATGTAACTATTTATCAGTGTTTGTTATAATTAAATTCAATAATTAACGAACATAAAACTCCTAAATTAAAATTTTATTCACATAAATTAACTATAAATCTTTTTAAAGAACACTAACTGATTAGCGCTTAGTTTTCTTTGTTGAACGCAGCGAATAAACACATAAATTTTTTAGAAAAATATCGTGGCAGTCTCTTAGAACCGTTGGTGTCAACCTCTATAAATATATTTCAAATAAAAAATAGATATAGTAAAATTATTTAAATGGGGAAGTATAAAATAATTTTTGAAAAAATGTATTTTAAATACAAAATACAAAATGGGCATTTTGCATTTTGTATTTCCATTTTAAATGCATCTCTATTTCAAATAATGCCCATCCTTATGTATATTTTATCTCATTAATTAAACGTACCATGATCAGATGTTAATATTACAATAGTATTTTTTCGGATCATTGAGACGTGTAACTGATGTATAAGTTTTCCGATCATATTATCGATATAAGATACAGCTGCGTAATACGATTGGATAATTCGCTTAGCAAACTTTTCTGAAAATAATGATAACCGAAGGACAATGCGTGTGTGTATGCACGCACGCACGCACGCACACAAAGCTGTAATGGCTTAAGGGGAACACCAGGGTGACGGCCGAAAAAAAAATAAGACTCTTTTTGTGAATTTTTTTTTGAAAACTGATAGCTTGTATGAATTATTGTTTTTATATATGCGAAGTACGTACATTTACGAAATTATTAAAAAAAATTCATTGAATAATATTAATATTTATTGTAGCTTCAGTACTCATTGATGTGCACCTGAAAAAACATGGGTGCACGGACGCTCGTGCTGCGTCTGAACGGGGGAGCTCTGAAATAATTTTTTTTTAGTCTATTTTAAAGTATATGAGTGTAGTTTCAGTTGCACGTACGGAATTTTTGATAAAATAATTTTAGACAAAATGGCGCTGTTTTAAAAAAAAAAACGTTGTCACGATTTTGCGACAAAAAATCGTTATCTTTTTAATTGTTTTTCAAAAACTAATAATCCGATTGAAAATTTCGTACGTGCAACTGAAGGCAATTTCGTTGTAAACATTCTGTCCAAAATTCAAGTCATTCGGATAAAAATTTGCCGGGATATGTGAGCGCCCAGTTACGAAAACGTGGTTTCGAGAAAAACACGTTTAAAGTTTTACAAATAAATTAAAGATTTCAAGGACTCTTTTGTATAATAATACGTTAAACAGGGCGAATAAGAGTCAAATTACAATTTAAAATCTAAATCTGATAATTTATTCTAATATTATATATTGCGAAGACTTTCACGTAATTTTTGGCGTTTCGTCCCGGCTTCCACTACTAGACTCATCAGTAAGGCATTGTAGTGGAAGCCTACCTTATACGCCATCAGAGGTTTATCGATATTCGCAAATTCTCGTAAGTGCTGAGACACGCGTATATCTCTTTATATAGAGAATCTCGATTTAATAAATAAATTTAAAAAATGAATAAAGGGCATAAGAATCAAAATTAAAACTAATCTTATATGTCAATTTAAAAAAAAATTTTTATTACGAAGATAAAATAGAAGATTGATGTTCTTAAAAATATAATATGATATATTGACATTAGAATATTATTTTACATTAGAAAATTTTTTTTTAAATTGACATAAGATTAGTTTTAATTTTGATTCTTATGCCCTTTATTCATTTTTTAAATTTATTTATTAACAAGAGTCCTTCATACATAATTTTATCGATTTAATAACTTACCAAGGCGTAGGCTTCCACTACAATGCCTTACTGATGAGTCCAGTAATGGAAGCCGGGACGAAACGTCAAAAATTACGTGATATTCTTCGCAATATATAATTTATTAGAATAAATTATCAGATTTAGATTTTAAATTGTAATTTGACTCTTATTCGCCCTGTTTAACGTATTAATTATAAAGTTTTACAACCAATTAGTTTATATATAACGATAAAATTTCGAATCAAAGTGCGTCCAATCCGGGTGCATATGAAGTGTTCACGACTAAAGCACACAGGAAACAAAAGAATATACCGGTAAAACTGCCTACAAGCAGATCAAGGGGACTGCTGAATGTCCTAGCGGCATCTGACCACGTTCTACTCTATCACATATTTACTATTGTTCCGTTAGGAATATCAACATAATATTATAGGGACATATTTTTAAGACTCCAAGCATTACAAAAATGCAATAAAAAAAAAAAATCGATTTTTTAAACTTGTCACCCTGGTGTTCCCCCTTAAGAAAAAAGACTAGATTTACTTGTTAATTTCGTCCATTATTTTGCCTCTATGCAAAAGTTTAATTAATAATCATACTGTGTATATGCATAATGCAGTATACCTGGTATTTTTTCCCATGGAAATTTTAATTTTAACTTTGCCACATCTTCTCTCCATCGGAGATCGGTCCAAGGATTATAAGCAACGTTATTTACATTGTCTGGCCATATGTATGGTTTGGGCATCTTGAACTTTCGTATAGGATGATATTCTGCATCGTGTTTGTAACACAAACTTTACATTATTCATCATCATTTTTCGTCTATTTTACGATCGTCAAAAATATTGAATTACTAAAATAATTACTTTTTTATTATAAAAAAATTCATCTGTTAGAAAATTTTTAACTCAAAAATTCAAAAAATTATAAAATTTGATATGTAAAGAATATTCTTATGCAATAAATACAATTGTTTATTAAAGGTATCCCTTTAATTTTATCAAATCACTCACTGAAAGTTGGCCTTGCATTAGTTTATATATATTTTTATAATTCTTTTAACAATCGTTCGAAGGAATTTTTGTTTTCTAATAAAAAACTTCATTAAAAAAATAAAATTTTTCAATATTTTTTTATTTCTTGTGCGTGTGGAGCCAAGATTCAAGGGTTGATGTTATTTTAGGGTAAATTCGAGTAATAAAAATAATAAGCGTACGAATCGAGAATATGATCCGCTAAATGCATAGCTAAAATTTTATAATTTTGTAAATTTCTATGCTTAGGAACCTTTTCTTACATATCAAGTAAACATAAATGAATTAAAAAGGATTTGATATTTTAAATCATTTGAATCATCCGATTGTGTATTCAGTAGCATTCAATGTCTATTTTTACTTTCTTTAGATTCAATTGCATGAAGAAACTTTTTTTATATTTAATTGAGTTTAAGTTTGAAATTAAGTAGTATCCAACAATGCACTTAAAAAACAAAAATTTTTCCAAATTGAAAGGCATAGAAAAGTGCAACTTTTATAAATAAATTAATGCATTGAGATTGAAAGAATTCAATTCAACATTCTCGAATGCATACTTCTGAAAATTTGAGAATTTGTATCCATTTTAAATCATTTCAATCTTATTTACTGAGTAATTATACTTCTAATTTTATGATGCATCGATAGAAACTGTGAAGAGACTATACTTAGATAGCGTTCAGGATACTTCAAAGGTATATGAGGCTTCTGAAAACCAACAGCAAGGAAGAAAGGATTAACATCTTTTTTGTGTTTGTTTATAAATCTTCTCGCCTCTCGTAACGTCTCGAGATCAGGTAACGTTTTGTTCGGCATGATCGAAACTCGTACTGGACATATCTGTGCGATATATCAAAGGTATATTTCTATGCGAGTTACAACATAAGAAAATATTATACGTTACGAGATTCGTTGCCGCTTTTGATTGTGGGACCATCCTGCAAACAGGAGCATTTTTGTATCGATCTGTATAGGGATGGAAAGGTTTCTCGGTCCATGAGTAGGGACTGTCGTCAGATCCGTTAGAACTTATACCTGTACAAAATATTTTACTTTTCAGATGTCAATGACTTGCCATTAATTTCTAATAAAAGTTATGTTTTTTTTTGCACGTGACAGCAAAGTTCTCATTGGCTGCGTTGAGTAGAGAAAGCAGCTTTGGAACTATTATAAAATTCGTAAATATATGATTGGTTTATACATTTAGATCCATGAGTATCAACAAAAAAAAAAAAAGAATCAATCGTATTAAAGAATTTCACAATTGTGGTAAAACTGCTTTCTCTGTTGAAAGCTGTTATTGGATATTGGCTCATCGCATCTAATGTGCAGATAGGCGATTAGGCTGCAGATAGAAGGAATAAGAAATGATAAATAATGTTTTCAATCTATCAGAAATAGGATACATTGAAATACACAATTTCTAATAGGTTGAAACGGACTCTGAGCAGCTCCGAGAGACAAAACGAATACTAGTGTATTTCTATACCTGGATGAAACACCTTTCCTATGGACATCGTGGTATAACCATTGTTTTTCAAATGTTGCGGCAACGTGGTGTAATTACCCACCGCGTTACGCCAGTAGCTGTAAAAGTCGTAAAGTCGGAGGGTATCCGGTCTTCTGCCAGTCAGAAAGGAGTTCCTACTGGGTGCACATAAAGCTTGCTGCAAAATAATCATTCGCTTTACATACATTTATAAAAGAAAAAAGGTAAAATCAGAGATTGCAAGTCAAAATAACCATGTAAAGAGCACAGACCTGTGCGAATGCTTCGGTGAAAACAATGCCATCCTCAGCCAGGGAGTCTATATTTGGTGTGTACGCATTGACGTCACCGTAGCATCCTAAAGTAGTCCTCAGATCGTCTACAATGATCAGCAAAATGTTTGGACGCGCTATGACGACATCAACTATTAGCATAACGACAACAAAATTAAAGCGGATTGTGAAAAACATTATGCGACCGTTGATATATGCAGCTTGGAAGTAAAAATGCTCTCGATGCGATGTAAAGAAAAGACAATTCCTTTGATCGCATGCGCAAATTACTCAGAGCTGGGACGATATATCAGCTGATGAGTCTTTTATTGCATCATCTGGGACGGACGCGTCTTTGTCGGGTGTTTATTTTTGTTATAAACACTTAAAAAAGTGTTACCGTCTTGGACTCCGAAAGTACTTATTTTATGCAGACACAATCAGGAGGATTAAAAGACTTAAAGGTAAGACCGTCAAAGAGTGCGAAAGACTTTTTCTTTGAGACTATATATATAACCTGTATAAGGATCTCAGTTCGGACAGTAAAATGGTGCTTAGATTATTCTTTACGCTTTATAAATTAAAAGTTATCAATGTAATACTCTATGACTCGTTTTTACAGGAGATTAATTTTACTAAGAAAAGAAAAATGCGAACTCTTGAGCAAGTGTCTTTTCAAGAGTTCGCATTAGTTCGCGATTTTCACTTTTTGTTTTTAATATAACTATGTAAAAATTATTACAGATATTAAGCGAATATACGCACTAAATACGAAGCAGAACATGCACACAATATAAATAGTACGGATTCATTAAGCAACGATTTAATGTAGAAATTGATCAATTCACCCTTGAAAAATAATAGAAAAAAAATGGTCAAAATTTAAAATATTTCCTTTATCGCTGAAACAATCACAACAATTTTTTATACACAGATCAGCAAGTCAAAAAGGCACATTCTGTGTGAAATACAGTTCTTACGATCCAATAATTTCGTCGTAAAGCTCAATGCAAACTCTTGAGCGATGTGCACTTTTAGGCGGTCTTACCCTACCAGTCTATTTACAAATGCAAAATTAACCGGTAAATATCATAATAAACCAACCATTCGTAAGAAGGATACAACAATGACAACAAGAACTTATTTCAACAACAAATACTTACAAGTCAGTTAAAGACTATTTACTGACACAAAAAAAAAATCAACAAATAAACAAGCGATGGATATTAAAAATTAAAATAAAAATGCTTTGCTCAAGAAAGGAAAAAGACGAAAAAAGGAAGGCAACAAAACACATCAAGACCAACTAAACAGTGAGATGAGAAATAAAATTCTTTTAATAATAAATTAAATAGAGATAAAATAATTTTGAATAATCATACATTTCTAATACATTTTCTCATATTTTTATAGCAATCACATCCTCCTCCATTATTAAACAATGTGCTCAGAATTCACCTGGATTCGCCAAATTCTTCGCAGATGAGAAGTTTAAGACGGCTCTCATTCACAGCTCAGGACGACTCAACGTTCGATGGTGCTGATGTAAAGATGCCAGAAAGTAAGGTATTGTATTCGATAAAATCCTGGTGCTAGAAATCTTGTCAGAGCAAATTTTGGAAGATACATCCTTCATTTCCGTTGGAGCCAAATCTTCAGATAGTGCCGGAGAAAACGACAAGATATCAAAAGAGGAAAAACAATAAAAAATGTTAAAAAGTATAACTTGTTAGCGTTAAGAAAAATATGTGTAACAAGTGAAAAGTGAAACAAATGATTAAAAGTACAATTTTAGAAAATGTTGTAAATGTGAAAGACGATAAAACGCATATACTTTTTTTTTAAATACCGTTTAAAAATCTAAATATGTAATTAAAAGACAAAGTAAAAAGATAAAGAAAGTCAAAATAAGAGATACTATACACATATTAATACTAATAATACTTATACTATATATTAATACTGTCATAAAATATTTGGAAAAAAATCATCTTTCAATATCATAAAATCGTTTTATTGATCTTTACACAATTAAAAAAAATTTGTTCTCTCTATTTATTTATTACATGTGTTTTCCTACCTTCTTGCCATATTTCTTCACAAATTACCATTTGTAAATCGACATGTTTCTGCATCAGCTAAAAATATGACTCGTTGATTCTTCCTCCGGACACAAAAGTTTACAACAGAAATTTAAATTCATTATTTTTGTTTTAAAACTGATATTGTCGCTGTAGATGGCGTAGACCTTCGGGCCGCTTGGTTCTTCCTTCACCACAGTGCAGTGCTGAAAACTTATAATGCATGTAACGTATATTGTAAATTTTCAATTTGGTACTGCTGGCAGTGAGTATCGGAACGCAGCCACGAATGCCACGATATTCGTAAAAAAAAAAAAAATTCAAATATCGCGGCCTCCAAAAATACTGTGTAAAAATAATCGATTTCTTAATAAATCGGTAAAAGTCGCTTCCTATTTGCGACGCTCGTGTTTCGCTCCGCGATTTGTTTCGATCCTCGATCGGTCGCCGTCTCCCCGCCTCTGCCCCACGGAGTAGACCTACCTGTCGAATCAGCTGATTATTGTTTTCGTTCGTCTGATATGGAGCAGACCATGGTAGCAGTACAACGTAATGTATATATACACAACATATACACGCGCACACACCTATAGACGTAATCCGCGCGTTCTCATCCGTTTCTGTTTCCGAGAAACCACTGTCTTTCTTCATTCCTCCTCCGTCACTCCTCCATTGTCTCTACGTGTGCGTGCGTATACGTAGTCGCTTCACGGTGCTCGCCGTGCCAGCAGCGAGTGAAATCGAGATAGAAACGGCCGAGTGGTAGAGAAATAAGGAGGGAAAAAAGAACCAAGTGTCTCCTCGCGCGCGGTTGTGAAATCGCCCTGAATCGCCCGTGCGCAGAGGTACGACGACGGAGGTGGTTTCGTTCCGTCGTGCTGCTGCTGCTGCTGCTCGTGTGTCTTTCCCGGACGGGAGGGGGGGGGGGGGGGG